GCCCGTCACGGCTTTGCATGCTGGCGAGCTGCCCTTTAACCTTTACGAGCGGCTGGCAGGCCCCGAAAGCTGTAGCATTCGCCAGAGACGCTCACTTTGGTGATACTGGCTTAGGTTAAGTTTACCGGTTACATAACACTTTCGCGGCCTTCAATGCACGTGGATAATAGGAAACCTGAGCGAAGTGAACGCCACTGGAGATCTAGCAGAACACCAAATACGTTTCCTCGTCTTCACGCGATGGACGCGCATGGTTTGGTTTTATCAGACCTTCATCCCAGGTCTGTCCAAGCATCCGTCAATCGAGGAGGTATGATTGAGCAACGGACCAAAGCAGCACTGATTAAAACTCTGGTTTAGGCATGAAAAAATGGGACCGGGTGTCTCAATTCTAACGAGATGTAAGATTCATGCTGTTATGTACGCTGTGTGGAGCATATTAGTTTTAAAGATAATTATGCGCTCGCTTAGAAATGGCCTATTCTCCAGGAGATCAGGACTTTGTTTACGCGCCAAGTATCCAAACAAGACGCTTTTCATATAATACAGACGCATACAGCATTTTTAAGAGCCTTTTTCCATGCATGCGTAAAAGGTTTTAAAAAATTGCACTTATGTAAAGGACTCGGCAAACGCAATTTGCGTTAATGATAAATCCTTGTACGAAAATGCCGGGCTACTCACCCTCGAGGGCTGTTCTAAATTCCATTACCATAATAAGAGCTCAGCTAAGCGCCCGTCCGGCCGCTCTGAAACATTACGCGGAAAGCCGCTCTGTCCACTATGCTGTGCCGCAAAGCATTCCAGTTGCGCGGCACAGCGCACGCTTCGCTATTCAGGCGGCGGTTGTTCCAGATCACGACGTTGAAATGACCATGTACATGCCATCGGCGCGGTCAAGAGAGCAGTTCGTTTTGTCGTCACGTGGAAGAGACTTGGCGATGGCGCTCCGATTACAAACGTCTCCATGCCAGGCCGCATTTTCGGGAGTGATGCACATGATGCACGGATATCCAGGAGCGATATTCATTGTCATTTCGTTTCTGCACTGTCACATGCCAAGAATATGCTGATGCGTGCTAGGTATGGTAAAATTGGTGCTATAAGGCAGCTTTACTTGACCTAGCCGGTAACTTCGCCACGGGCGCAGGGTTTTGCGTTTCGTCCGCGGAGTAACGAAAATGCAGACACAACACTACATTCTGCAACAGTAATTGTTCTTACCCTGAGGAGAGCCTATGGTCCAGACAGGCAATGCAATCTAGTCTCAGTAAAATGGCTCTGATTTTATGATACTGCAGTTTTTATGCCACTGGATGCTTTACGTGACGTATAAATGGGATTGTTTTGCACGACACCCGACCGCCAGCTCATTTTGCCCACATATTAAGTGTGTCAGCATATTCACCAACAGTCTGAGTGAACAAAAGTCTGGCGTGGGACGGACGCTCTTCCTCACTGACCTCGTCTCCTCCAGCAGGAACGCACCAGGGCTAGTGGCCTTTCCTGACCTGACCCGTCTTTGCTTCAGGCACGTACCAAGGCCAGCGACCTCTCCTGACCTGACCCGTCTCCGCCCTCAGGCACGTACCAGGGCCAGTGGCAGCGCGGCTCACGGCACGGCTACGGCTGCGCACATCAGCCGCGTTCGGCCCCGCCTCCACCTCCAAGAGCAAGGCGCACCACGGGTCGGCCTCGTCGCTCAAGTCGGACCCGCAGGCCGACCCCACCTCGGAGCACGACCGGCGCGTGAACGAGACGCGCGGCGGATTCGTGCTGAGGGCGCGCTCGGACGAGCCGCCGCCACGGCGCGGCTCCATGGTCGAGAAGATCACCACACTGAGGAAGAACATCCTGCAGGTGCGGAGTCGGCGGCGGCCGCAGGGAGGGCGCGCGCTGGCTGGGCTGTACACAGCGACACGGTCATGTCTTTGGTGTGGTCTGGGGTGTTGGTGGTGCTAGGGTGGTGTTGGCGGCGCCTCCCACACCTGGAGATGACTTTCTTGTGGTCGTCCTGGGATCGGCAGAAATCTTTCAAACAATGTGATTGCGATAGCTCGGTCGAGGTCTCTGTGACCACGAATGGCGGGCCCTGGTGTGCACGTGCCTGGAGGCGCCACCAGGCGACGGCCACGCACCGTGATATGACGTCATATGCCCCATGTGGTCTCGGCAGGTCTCCGTCTGCGTAACAGCGCAGCACTGGGGACCTGGAGAAGCGAAACGCCGGCGGCAGCATCCGCTCCACCAACAGCAGCGTCTCGTGGATGAGCACCGACTCGACCAAGTCCCACATCACCAACGGCAGCTACCACACCGAATCGAACGCCAGCTTCGTCGTGGAGGTGGGTCGGCTTGCGTCCCGTCGGAGTGGTGTAGGACGCCTGCGTTGTTCGCTTGGTCAGGGGTCAGCTAAGAAGATTGGTGGAGGAACATTTGGTGACAGAAGCTGTACAGGTCAGCCTCGGGAACAAGCACAGCTACTCAATGTTTCTGTGCGAGATGAAAATTCCGCATGCCCGATGATGTTCACGCAAGTACAATTGTCATCCAAAATTTCAGCTATTGAAATACCTTGTCAAACAGCGTGGAACACCTGTCGACATGCCCTGGAGCGGAGCCGTGTTTGAGCTGCAGCGCTGTGTTGGGACCGACCACCGGCTGGCGCGCTCCACGGGCGCCGTGCGCGTGTAGCGACCAGACTCTGGTGTGGCGGCCACACCGCGCCTGAGTCACCTAATCGGAGCGATCACCGGCGGCCAGGTGCTCCGCCAAGGCCGGCAGCACGCCGGTGTTAATGTGCCGAACACTTGTGGCTGCTCGCCGCGGCGTCGACGCGTCGCATCGGTGTTCCGAGTGACCAGAAGCGCTATTCGCGTGATGGCGCGACGGAAAGTGGGCCCCGCAGCTGTGGTAATGGCCGCTCATTACGGGATGTCGCACGGCGTAGTGCGATCCCTGCGCACTTTATGAAATTGGCGCTCTCCGACGCTGGCGGGACGGCGCATTACCCCGTAAACTGAAACACCTGCGCGGTAACGTTGCCCCAGACAGTCACAGAGGCACTCGGTGTACACACACTTATTTCCGCTTACATGTAGCTGTTGGACAATAACATTTTGTTCTATAGGTTACTGCAACGTGTTTGCGGTAGAGACTGCCGAACTGTGAGTGGGCACTTTGTCAAGGCGCGAACACCTGTAAAGATGATGCAGACACCTACTCTGGCGAAGTTTAGCGATGCCCCCTCCAATCAAGCAGACAGGCGTCTGGAGCCAAAGCAAGATACCAAGATCTGATCCTGGCATCCCATTAACATGGAACCTATGGAATCCGAAATTTACCACTGCAATCCAGGCACATGTCTTGAATAAAGAATAATTTTAACGGTGTTTCCCCTTCCCCAACATAAAAAGGCACCTTCCTTCATGTCCTTTGCCGTGCAATCGGGTCGTAATCTTGCCAAGTGCAAGCTGAGATTTATGGGGTCTTCCACAATTCGAGTTCATGACGTTGCTTTGTATTATCATTTGTACGTGCCTTTGTAGACATCTGAAACCCGGCTTTTTACAGGAGCATTGAGCGGCATCAAATCAGGCAACTTGTGAAGTGTATTTGCAAGAAACATTGCAAGTACATAAGACCGCACTTTTTGCAATAATCCTGTCAGCATGAGATGTTTGTGCCTGCCACCGGTTGTCCATTGTGAAATTTATCATGCAGTTTTGAATGTACGGCTCAAAATCGTTCTGACGAAGGCACATAACCAAAATCTTCATGCATCTATCTTTCTTTACTTCCGGTTATTGGACTTAAGGCTAACAGTGCTGTCTTAAAGACATTAATTAGCACTGGAGCCAGCATGACATCCGTTGCAATCATCCTGTAAAGAAGTTTCTGGTTTGTTCTTTTTCAGACCTGAGAAGTATGTGAAATCAAAGCCACTGCCTAACTTCTTTCATCACGTCTGACCCGTCCTCTATAAGACACTTCCGGATGTTGATTGGGAACTTAAGATGCAACTCAAAATTTCAATGGCCGGACCAGTTGATCGCCAAGCTCCTCAACAGGACCACAGAACTGGGGCGCTGATGGTGCCGTGGCTGAACTTCGAGTCTGGCAAACCAGGGATGTAGGTTTGCTTCTCCACGGCGCCCGTTCCCCTCGCAGTCTGGGAGGCAGGAAACGCCATAGATCTTCACCAACTGAGTGCATCGTAAAACATGAACAACAGCGACAACGGGGGCTACGTATTTTCTGCTCATTCTCAATATGAGAACATAGCCTGGATAATCTGAGCTAGTTCTGACGAAAGCACAACATAGTTCAATCTGGAATACTAATATTTAGATATAAAAACTAGGTTTGAAATATAACAACTAGGTTTCACCACCCCTGATAAATATTTCTAGTACTAATTGTTAAAGACTGGTTACAAGTGCCTGGCTAGAGGCTTTTGCAAATGAACGGCCTCGTTAGCCTTGTACGCGCCGGGGTTGATCATGCTAACAATGTGCTGTCGGCTTATTCACTGGACCTTAGGAAAAATATAAGCGTTGACGTCCCGTGTTCAGACTTGATCACCGTTCTTTTCCACGTGAATACGGCACCTGTGCCGGGTAGACAATATAGATATGTGCGTATACAATAGACAAGCATGTGCAGATGTGCATGCGTAAACTCGTTTGCATAATGGGAAGCTTTACGGATGTGTCGGTAAAACACAAGGCCGCGTCTTGACCTTGTGCTACGGAAATGCTGCGCAGAGAATCCATACATATTGAATCTGCTGAGCGGCTGTTGTGGAGCTTCAGCGAAGCCCGACGGGCCCAGTCGGTTTCAGAGCAGGGTACGACTATCCAGTGTTGCATCTTGATAGAACATTCCTCTTGTTCGCACAGATAAATGATGAGCGCGGATAGAACATTGGTCTCATTCGCACAGGTCGTTGACGAGCGCGCTGTGTCACACCCGTGATAATGACAGGTATGCTATACGAACTAGTGGATCATTTACTGCAGGTCTTGATGCTGGAAGGCTGTGCTACAGCTCGTGAAGCGTTGCCCATGCTTGCCCGCCATAGCGCTCGATGATTTAGCTGCCGTCATCTCCAATTTGGTCATGCCCGTGAATGCGTAAGTAAAAATGACCAAGCTATTTTTCAGTAATTGATTAAAATGAGCTTAATTTGTCTAACTTACGACCAATACAAATAGTGGTCAATCACGTGCTTTATGGCGGACTTTAAAATATTTCATAGACAGCTTTTCACGATTAGTAATGCTTACAGAGACAATGGCCCACTTTGAAAACAGTATGTGCTCCTGGCCCCCGTTTGCCTGGCTGCTGTCTATCTAATCTTTTATCTTTGACACTGATTCCGTCTGCCGCCTTTCCACCTTTGCAATCTCATTTTTTCATTCGTATTTGACATGGATGATGATTACGATCGGCAACCTATGTCTGAATTTAACCGAAACGTGGTCTGGCTGGTGGGAGTTTTTCAGTGAGTTGACCAAACCCTGAACAAGCCATTTTTGGCTGAGCGGATTAAGAACCAGCTAGCGTGAAGTCAGTTCAGGGTCTATGGAAACGTCTAGCGGTGCAATACGAAATCCACGGGCCCAACATGTCACATGCTAATGCCATAGACGAACCTGGAAGCCTAAAGTACGCATGCTGCCCCCCCCCCCCCCCCACCGCAACTTCTCACACGCCAGAAAAACGTGCCCCTATCGCTGCCTGGACGCCTTTCCTCCGTATATTTTGTCCGCCAGCGGTTGCCACACGCTCGCCCCGCCGACGTGCCCGGGAGCCGCGCACCGTCTCACCGCCATCTCTCTGCCGCACACATTCTCACTGCCATCCCTCTGCCGCACACCTCTCACTCCACTGCCATCCCCCTGCGCACACCGTCTCACCGCCATCTCTCTGCCGCAACATTCTCTCACTGCCATCCCTCTGCCGCACACCGTCTCACCGCCATCCCCCTGCCGCACACCTTCTCACCGCCATCTCTCACCGCACACCTTCTCACCCCCACTGCCACCCCCGCTCGCACACCGTCTCACCGCCATCCCGCTGCCGCACACCATCCTACCCCGCCATCTTTCTGTCGCACACGGTTTCACCACCACTCCTCTGCGACACACCGTCTCCACCGCCATCCGTCTGCCGCGCAGGACGAGCAGATGGACAGTAACGTGACGGAGACGTACATGGGGGAGTGGAAGAACGACCGACGCATCGGCTACGGCGTGTGCGAGCGATCAGACGGCCTCAAGTTACGAGGGCGAGTGGTACAACAACAAGAAGTACGGCTACGGCGTCACCACCTTCCGCGACGGCACAAGGAGGAGGGCAAGTACAAGAACAACGTGCTGGTGACGTCCAACAAAAAGAAGCACCTGTTCCTAATCCGCTCGGCCAAGTTCAGGGAGCGGATTGAGGCGGCCGTGAGCGCCGCCAGTCGAGGGTCCAAGATCGCCCTGCAGAAGGCCGACATCGCCATCAGCAGGTGGGTGTGGTGCCGTGGCGTTTCCCGCAGCCGGAGGAGCTTGGTGCTGGCCGCGTCGCAACGGCAGCAGACGTGTCTCGGTCACCGCTCTAGACCGCATACAGCACAGCAGCAGGGCTAATGTCATTTTATCCAAGTATGGAGGGGCAACTGCATACTTTCTTCTCTCTGTGACGCCCCTGATTAACGTCATCAATCGAAGTATTCTGCGGTCGTGCACTTAAGACATTTAACGCCTTTAGATATCATGATTAGATATTAGGACATTGCTCACAATTTACCCCCGAATTTTTACAGCTCACAATTTACTCCGAGATGTTTTGCGAAAGATTATTAGCGCCAACTATGTGCTCAAGTGTGTTAAAAATATTCTTTTGGCTTGATCTTACTAGCAGCTTGCTGACGGTAGACACGTATTGCTAGCATGCAATACTTTTTTTTGAAGCTTTTTGTTGTCCTGGATGCTTGCACAAAATCTCCCCGAAATGTCCTGAATAATGTTGAAAAGGTTGGTGCAGTTTCATTCATGAAGATGACAACAGAATAGACAACAAACCACGCTAGAGTGCTCCATACTTAACAACATAAATAAGTAAGTGTAAAAGGTGTAAAGACTAAAAAGTAAAATGCAAAAGCTAAAGGGGTAAAGAGTAAAACAGCATTCGGTAGAAAATCGAGTTAAAAATGGTTACAAGTGTTTCTACAGCGTACGATGTCAAAAAATTAATGACAGCTTGCAGCTTCAACTATCCGCAGATATTCACGCAGATCAAACTTCCGCTCAAAGTTAGCGTTTTTCCCGACAGGAGCAGTGTGTTAGGACAAGGTTGTTGCGCCGTGCCCTCGCGAAGACTATGCTAGAAATCCTGCTGAAAAGTGCATTAGTCTAAACATTAATACTTGCTCGTATTACGAGCATGAATACAGCGGATGCGTCATAACTGAACGCTTTTCCGCACCCCGTCATAGCATTACATTAACCGCCGTGGTGCGCTATCATGAGGCAAACATTTCCACGCTTAATTGGACATGGACATTGGCGGCAGATGAGGATGGCCATAGCGTGTCTGAATTTCATCAGCCAGGATGCAGCTCAGCTGTATTTCCGGCATATCTGAACATTCAGCGGAAGTCATTACGAAACCGAGCTGGACCTTGACGGAAGTTCAATAATCCCCGCCGCCGAGCGTGAAGTTGGACGCGTTTGATTTGGTTTCCGCGACCACAGCTCTCACATCGTCTGCAAATCTAGTCGAATGCTACGAGGGGTGCCCTTAGCGCCATATGACCACAAACCACGACGCACGTCGACCTTGACAAGGAGGTATCATGACCCTCTGCGCATATTTGTTGAAACCTCACCCACAGCTTTGTCCGGAGTGAAAATGAGTTCGACCTGTACCCAGGAGTTCGGATGCATCGTGTCATCACAATGGCACATCCCAAGTCAGGTCAAACTTCCGCTCAAGCAGTGACGGCAGCTTCCCCCCTCTGATTACCGACGGGAGCTGCCCCGGAGGGAGCAGTGATGTTTACCCTCCGGGCTCTGACATGCTGACCTAGTATTTGCCGACTGACCACCGCGGCTATGACGTAGATTGCCATGGCTGTGAATTGGGACGATGGAGTGGCGATTGACCTGTTCTGCTAGCGGGCAAATGCGGTGCGGGCTGTGGAGGCGATGTGGTGAGCACGCTTGGAACTTTGACGAGGGCCCTCGCCTGGCTGACCCAGCTAGCTGACGGTGGCAGCAGCGCCACACGCTGGGGTCATCCAAAGTCGACATCGGCTCAGGCAGCACTGGGTGGCTTCGGCCGATGAGGCATGAGTTGCAGAGGTAGATCATGGCACGTGTCCCTAATGTGTGCACGTAAGGCGTACCAGTGCGTGTTGCCAACCCCATATCGCTGGAAAGCGTGAGGTAGCTTTGGAATTGGACGACGTCTTTGCGCACTGCATTACGTGGTAATGCAGTGCAAACCACTGGTGTAAAGTTCTTTGTGAGCACATTTCTCAAATTCAGCTGTAGCTAGATCATGACTGCGCGAATCGGACGGCGCTGCTCCTGGAAAAGAGAACCGAAATCAATAATGGATTCTGCCTGGTAACTAGACTCATGAATTCGAGTCGCGGGCGCGGCCTCAGGTCTATTGTCAAACGAACCGGCTCTCTGCTTCAGTGCGACCCTGGTGGAAGTACGGCCAGCCCGGCTGACGCCTTGCCATATTGAACGGGTACACCACGCGAGAGCGAGCGCATAGGGTTCTGTAATTTCGTATGCAGCGGACGCCGCGCCGTGTTCCACTATGCTGTAACGTCCCACACCGCTGTAACGTCCCACTACGCTGTAACGTCCCACTACACTATAACGTCCCACTACGCTGTAACGTTACAACACGCTATAACGTCACGCGTCATGCGCTGTCCTGGACCCATTTCCGGTGACCGACAGGCCACGAGAACTTCATTCATCGGCTCTGCTCCAGCCCGTGGAAACCACCGCGCCCTAGGCAGCGGGAGGTTCTGTGAGTTGGAAAATCGTGCTCTGGCCATTATTGACCTTCAAATACCAGGAGGTACTGATAAAACGACGTTATCACGGAAGCGCTGGCTATTTGAACCAAATTCAATGTTTTGCCCTTGGACATGGGCTATATTCACAAAACTCAAGTTTTGCCAATGTACCAATGTTTCCTCCGCATCATCGCTTAGCCTGTACCTCTTGGTAAGATCAATGATCGTCAGCATAAGGTCTCCTAGCTCGCAACTGCTAAAAAACAGGAGCTAAATCCTCTTCTTTCTTATATCAAGTGGTGGGAGGTTGGTGCTGTGCGAATGCTTACCTGATTTGTTGTTATCCACATGCGACTCAGTCGTTCCCATCCTAGGTAAAAACCACAACATCACTGGCGCGCTGGATCTACGTCTTTCGGTGTTTACGAATCGACGTTACATACTCACATACATTGCACAATTAGGTGTATTGTAATTCAAAACGCCGTTATCTCATTGTTTTGGATGATGATGAAACCACAGGAAGCAAAAGACATTTAACCTCGATTATTAGCAAAAAGACATCGGTATAGCTCACAACCCCTCCCCAAACGCCCCACCACCGACTGCTTCTTCGGCTTCTGGTGTTGTTGCAAAAGATGGGGAGAGTTTAACCACAGAACTGAGAAATCCACGGTGCAATCATGATTTGAGGACTATGAGATAATTTGTCATCTAATCTTGAAATGGAGGTTTACTTGCGAATTTAATCGTTTTTTTCATTTTTTTGTCACGCGATCTGGATTGCAGCCCTTCACCACAACAATTCCGTTTTTATATCCATATATATCTTTAACCTTGACACCTTGACTGTCGGAGCATGTGCGGAACCAACATCTTAGTTCAAACTCTTGAAATGCCCGGCATTTTCTTTTTATCGTTACGTAGGTCTGCAATTATATTTATATGTTCATCCAGGTACCACGTAATACCAGACGTTGATGAAATGGCTTTGGTCACCTTAATCTTTTCTTTTTTGATATACAATCCGTATCGAAACGTGAACCTGAATTAAGCACTAAACATGGTTTTTAAAGATCTCAGTGCAGTGCGACCGTATCTTAAAGCTCCAACAAACTAGAGGCACGTAACGCATGTAAGCAGGCAAGTAACTGTACGTACAGATGTGTGTCTTGGAGGCAGGAAGAGTGTTCTTACACTAGTGTAAAAAGCTAGGTTTGCATTTCACATCTCACGAAGTCATCACAGTTTACCAACTTCATCATCCATCAACTTGCTACGATTAAAATAGGATGTCAAAAAGGTGCATGCTGAGAAAACGGGTGTGTGTACTCCGTGCCGGGGAGACCGGAATAAAGGCGGCAAGCACACCCGAAAAAAGAAATAAGTTATAATCCTTAAGCAAAGAATTTGCCTGTTTCTAGTGGCTGCTGAAGGATCACCATATTGAAAGATGGAATACAAGAAGTGTTGCGCCGTGTTTCGCCGTCGTTGGTGTCGACCAACGGGTCGCTGGGTACGGCATCCACAAAACAACGAAACATTTCCGACAACAGGCATGATTTATGAAGGCCCCAAGCCATAGCAAAAACATGTTTCACCCTATTGCGTAGCTCGTTTGGATTGCTTTCTTGGATCGTTGGTGCACCTGTGCCTGGGGCGCAATAGCGACAACGTATACTAATGCTGTACGCTCGCGACAGAGGTAACGTGCTGGGTGTCGCGAGCCAAATTAAATGAAGCGGCATTAATTCCTGGACCGGGATGGGATGGCGATGGTAGGAATGATGTAATCTGAGGGGAACGCGGGGAGGTTGATGTCATCCGCTCATTGCTCATGCGGTGGGCTAAGGGGGTGGGGTGGGGTAGGGGCTGGGGAAGGGGAGGGGATGTAGAGGGAGGAGCGGGACCATAGAGTCAACGCCAGCCACAGTCAACGTGCTCCAATACGCATTTGCCATATCTGTGCACGATCTAAATGTAACATTTACAAATCGCGCTGCACGTCAATTGGGGCAGTATCGCTTGTAATACCACTCAGGGAACGGCTCATGAATGCAACCCACACTGGTGTGTTGATGCGCCGCACTGTACACTCATGAGTGAGATAAAATAACTGGGCACTTTCAAAAGCAAGTAAAACGATGTGCGCATGCTGCTCCTTCTTCGGAAGCCACGCCGACTGTGATGTAAGCACATCACCGTCGGCGCAGGTGTCAATTTCTAAAACTAACGGAGGCCCCAACATCCATTTTGGCCATCTGGGATCATTCTTTGCATGCATCTCGGCAGGCCCATGTTTGAATCCAATATTTTTGGGAACAGCAGCCCTGAAATAACACCCATGTAACACAACATTTGCTTTTCCCGCTTTCCAGCGTATTTTCCGTAGTGTTCAGCGCCGTGTCAATCAGGCAGTATCCGAGCGACCTCAAAGTCGATGCTTCACATGTGCGCCAGAAGACTGAGCCAGCAAAGTATTGAGAACATCTTCAGCTTTGAGCGGGCACTCGACCGAACGCCGCGCCTCAGACCCCGTGCATTCAACTAAAGTTGGGCAAACTTCTGCCCCACTTCATCGCGCCGCTCGCGGCAGAGTGGCTGCAGCTCCTCCGACCCAGCTGACGCTCGCACCAGCTGAAGGTAGCCCATGGCGCAGTTTCGTCAGTTCCGCGCGGTCGATGACGCTGTGAGCGACGTGCCTGCGGGCACACGGCTGTTTTCGGCGTCAGCGGCGCCGCACCCGGTCCCCGCCTGCTGACGCATGGCGTCAGTGGCGTCAGACCGGGTGGCGCATGGCGTCACCCGGTCCCCGCCAGTTCCACATGGCGTCAGTGGAGCCAGACCCGGTCGCCGCCGGGATATCATGGGGAGGACTGCATGGCGTCAGCGGCGCCGAACCCGATCTTCGCCGGGATATCATGGGGAGGGTCACACGGCGCCAGCGGCGCCGCACCCGGTCTTCGCCAGGATATCATGGGGAGGGTCACACGGCGTCAGCGGCGCCGCACCCGGTCTCCGCCGGGATAGCATGGGGGAAGGAGGGAGGGCTACATGACGCCTGCCGTCTATCTCAAGTCGGGCTCGCGAGGCAGGCAGCAGTGCCGGGGATTGCCCGGCCAGCCTTGCAGGGAGGGCTCCACTTCGAACTGCCGTCGTCACGGACCGGCCGATGTTTTCGAGTTCGGCCGGAACGGAGGCGGGGCGGCGCCGGAACTCCTGCTCCGACTTGTTCCGGCCACGGCCCGGCCACAGCTGTTCGCTCCCAAGGCCCGACCGGTCTCGCACCGCCGGGAAAGCGGGCCGCGGTGCCATCCGCGGGCCGCTGCAGTCCCGCTGCGTTAGTTACCGCCGTCAGTTGTGTTGAGCTTGTTTCCCCCAGCAGGCAGGCGGCGCGCAGCGGCGGCGGCGCCAGGCGCGGCTCGCTGGGCGATCGGTCGCCGTTTGGTGTTACGACCGCGGCGTGTCGGGTTGCAATGACCCCAAACCGCGGCGCCCTAGCTGACCTTGGGACCGCATTACAGAACGGCGACGGCGCGCGGCAAGGCGGAGCAGGCTGACATCGCCGCCCAGCATGCGCGGGAGGACTCTGGCATCGCGCGTGTGCACGCCAAACAATTCGCGCCAGACTTCCTGCAGCCTGGTAAGGGTCGCTTCAAGGGCATGGCGAGCGATCGGGTAACTCACTTGAGACTCCTGGGCAGCATAGTTACACCCACCGGGAGACGCCTGCTGCCTACGGGGGCTGCTCACATATAAAGGGAATGTTCCACATTGGTACTTATTGAAGCAAGTATGAGATATGATGGAATGAATCCCTTACAACTATTGGTATACCTTTACGTGGAGAGGACTGGTCCGGACAACGCTATTTTTTTGTGAAGTAGATATGCTGCTCAATCAATGAATGAGAAATGTAACTCTTTGTCTTGACTTTAAATGCCGCAGGCCCTGTGGGATGACAGGATTTTAGTGACGTCATTATCTAGTCACAGATGCCTGGATGACCTTCAAAAAGTCTACACGAAATACTCTGCACTTCGTCGCGGGCCTGTAACACAAAACACAGGGCTCAGGTCTTAAAAGGATAGGGTTGTGAGCTGCACCGAATCTACCATGAAAAATACCACGGAATATTAGGTCGTATGTGTAGCCAGCAAGCATTCTCCTAACGCTGCAGTGATTCCATAAAAGTTTGACCTTAACATGAACCCAGGAAAAGGATCATACTACTTGGTGACACTTTAATTGTGGCAGTGCTTTAATTCACAGTATTGTGACCGGCTACAAAACGTCGCAGTGCTAAAATGCGGATGTTTGGAATCTTTAGGGGCAAGCAATTAAAGTTTGGAGTAATGATTTTGCTCGTTCGGGGGAAATGATAAAAACGACTATTATTTGAGTTGCCTTTACGAGTTCCCAGAGAAACGTGGGTGAAGAAGCTCAGCCGGGATCGTTCTGATAAAAAACTTCATGCTAGTCTCGTGTTCACAAGGAATACTAAGATCATCACCACAAGAGTACTTAGTTCGACCAAAACCCACGGACAACCAGCGTCAGTGGTGTTGGAACCTGACTGACATGGTGCTCACTGCCCACCTCTCCGGAGCTCGGCCCACATAATCACTGACATCCCACTGGGTTACCTCTGACCTGGAGGGGGGGGGGGGGAGAGACCGTGGCACGCGTGTTTCCGGTGTCGCTGACGCAGGTCCGGTCTCAGAGGTCGCTGGTCCGGACGGTCCGGACGGTCCGGACGTGGAGGTAATGACCCGAGACGGGGACCCGCCGAGGCTAATGGCCCCGGGGCGTGGCCGGCTGGATGGGGAGCTGAGGGAGAGAGGGGGGGGGGGGGGAGATGTGACAGTGCTGACTGGAGGGCTGCTAAAGTGTAACCGTACGTTGTGGGGAGTTGTTTAGGGTGTAAGGGTGTAACCGTGCGGTGTGGGTAGTTGTTAGAGTGTAACTGTGGTGACCCTGAGGATTGACGAGGTGTGGCTCTGGTAACTGGATTGTTGGTGGCGTGCTACTGAGAGAAGCGGAAATTTGTGAGGTGCAGCTAATGCCGAGGGGAGAGTTGTTGGGGTTTAGTTGTGCTCCCCGTGACTGGTTCGGTGTAGCTGAAAGCAACGGATAGTGGTAGAGCGGGTAGAACAGTTGGTGTAGCTGGGGAGCCAATGGATTAACTGGAGGGCTACTGAACTGACTGGAGTGTTGAGATGTGACTGTGCTAGCTGGACAGTTGGTGGCGTTGGTAGGTCCTGACTGGAGATTGATGGTGCGCAGCTGTGCTGACCCACAATCTGCTTTATTGGATGCAGCTGAGCTAGTCGAGACCTAAGAGTGTGTTTTGGGAACCTGATAGTCAATGGTGTGTTGTAAGTCATTCTTACGGTAAGGCCGTCTGTAACCAGACTCGCAGATGGTTTAGGTTTCGTCGGACCACGCGCTAGTAAATACAAATTAAATCATGGTAATCTGACTGTTGGTATGCATAGGATGGTCATTTTGGCGATATTTGAGCTGGCGCAATATGTGGTAAGAGCAAAAGAGAGCATAGGAGCAAAAATCACTTATTATCGTATGGGCGGGCGGGCTTCTATCTCGAGGCAGAACACGCCCAATCACCTCACTTAGCGGTTTCCTATGCTACCGCTGGCTGCTACAGGAATCGTATTTTTGATGCGCTCTATTTTTCTTGAAAAAGTTGCCGGTGAATTGTAGGTTTCAGTTTACTTGCAAAGCCATGTAGCGTTTCCTGCCTTTTAAGCGCTCATTTCCATAAAAACATGAAGGGCAGCGATCGATAGGCGGACGTGTATCCCGTTAAAGGTTCGAGGCCAGTTTAGCTGAATCCGGTAAGTTTTTTGCCGTCTCATCGACGGGCGCAACAAATCAATGCGTATGGATTTACGGGCGCGAGGGAAGGACTTGTCCAGCCGGCAAGGTCACCGAGCCTGCACGGAGGACACTTGTCCAGGCCTGGTTACTTGTCCAGCCGGCGAGGTCACCAGGTCTGCACGGAGGACACTTGCTCAGGCCTGGTGACTTGTCCAGCCGGCGAGGTCACCAGGTCTGCACGGAGGACACTTGCTCAGGCCTGGCTACTTGTCCAGCCGGTGAGGTCACCAGGTCTGCACGGAGGACACTTGCTCAGGCCTGGCTACTTGTCCAGCCGGCGAGGTCACCAGGTCTGCACGGAGGACACTTGCTCAGGCCTGATTACTTGTCCAGCCGGCGAGGTCACCAGGTCTGCAGGGAGGACACTTGTTCAGGCGTGGTGACTGTCGGGCGGCATTATTTTCATCCTGGCGTGCGGCCAGGCCCGACCTAGGCGTGCCGTTCCCCAGGTGGCGCCACCGCCCCGCCGGCTCCTCCGCTGGCGGCGTGCTCCAGCCGAGCGCCGCAGCTCACCGTTCCGCTTGACACACGGCTGTGTGCTCAATGTGGGCTGGTCAAGTACCGATAACTGTCCGCTGCGAGCCTTTAGATTTATGGCGACTTATGGCGACTTGGACAGGTCTTAGCTTTCCAGATGCATTGCATCATCGATAGCTGTAATTCTCAGCATAGTAGCGTTTGTGTTGCTTCGTCCCATGCCGATCGATGCACATTCATTATTTCATTTACGGTGCATCTGCATGTGCAAATATTTATAACGATGCCTCTCCAACTGTACATGTCGGATAGCGCACCGTGCCAGCACCGCCAACCATCGCTCCGATGCCTGCAGGCTCCGAGGGCTACAAATCACGTCCGGACACCCGTGGCGGCAACCCCGAGCTCGCCGTGCCGCAGATCCGGACTCAAAGCCCTCCGCGCGAGCTAACGGCGCCCGAGCCGTCCCCCGCCGCCCAACGGGCTACCGCCCGGCCTGGACGGGCCTGTGTCGGTGGCGGTGCCGGAGACGGCGCCGCCGGCGCCGGCGCCGGCGCCGGAGCGGCCGGGCGAACGCGAGCCGCCTGCCGGTCGGAGACCCAGTGCGTCAGTGTCGATCGCAGCGCCGCAGGGCGACCGCGCCAGCGTGGACTACTTCCCGGCGGCGCTGACGCGCGCGGACAGCGCGAGCCGGGAGCCGGCCGGCGAGCGCGCGCCGGCGCGCCGCTCGCGCGCCAGCCTGCAGGGCGCCGCCGCCATGAATGACCGCTTCGACCACTACCGGCGTGCGCCCAGCCGCGAGGGCTCGGTGGAGCCGGCGGCGCGCGCGCGCCGCACCACGCCTCAGCCGCCCGAGTTGACGCTGGCGGCGCGGCCCGGCTGCCGTTCCGATGCCCACTGCACGCCAGACTCCGGCGTCTTCGAGAGCGCCGACGAGCCGGCCGGCCGCGTCGCCAACGCCGCTGATGCACCCCGCTTCTTCATCCCCGATACGCCCGAGCAGGCGGCGCAGATGGCGGCACCGGCGGCGGCCGGCATGAAGCGAACCGAGAGCATGTTCATGCCTGGGCCGCAGGGCCGCCGCGGTGGCACGGTAAGTGGCACCGCTGCTGCCGCCTGACGGTGTGGCCTGCAAACGCGGGTGTGGGACCCGGTAACGGGTGGGTGGGTAGGCAATCCATTTTCCAGCATATGATTGTCACTATGATGAGCTGGAATTTATAATTTAAATGTATGGGGTCTTGTTCGCCTGCTCATAGCAAGTGCAAGCTATTTCATGTATTATGCGCTGTTGCAGGCGCCGGTTTTTCCTATCTTCACGCTCTGCACTTTCACGTGCAGTTTTGTACACATTTAACGCAGAAGCAATGCAACACACTACAACAGAACGGTGAACAGAAACATCGCACACCACCATTACCTTTCACCTCTTCGGCATCATGTGCCCTCCACGGGTCGGCTCTTGTGATCGATGGCCAGCATGCGAGGACTGGAACTCCCCAACAGCACGCGCCACTTTTTGGGCCGCGTCGCACCCAAGGCTGTGGCCGCCACCCTAAGAACGGCGGGCGTGATTCAGTGGCACCCGTGCGATACCCCGCGCCTGGCAGCGGGCGCTGGCACGTGGCCCCACTTGTGTTGGCAAACGGCGCCGCTGCTGCTAAGTGGGCAGGGCTGCGGTCCCGGCAGACCACCCGCCTCTCGGGAGACCAGAAATACTTCGCCACCGAAATCATCGGGGGTTAGGTTCGTGTCAACAATGCTGGGTGCTCGCGTGAAACGTGACGTCATCCGGCGTGATTACGACATGAGGATGCACTGGGTGTATGGGGATTCCTACAGTAATTGGCAGCCTGCAAGGAAAGCAAACAACGAAAATGCCACTGCAAAATATAGCGGACAAGCGGGTAATTCGCGCCGGTGTTATGTACATTTATGTACGTAATGTACATGCACACGTAAGGGCAACGTTAGTTTCCCATCTTGATGGCAAAGTGATAACCATTTTAGCTATTCCTCTCTAGCCAGAGCCCAGAGGGCCACGAATGGAATCATTCTTTAGACTATCGTTCTCGTCTGATATGTCCATGTGTATACATAGTGTGTGTTGGTATGCATACAGTGCACCACGCAGGCGTGACAGTCCGAACAACTTTTCCATCCGTGGCATTTACCCACAGGGGCAATGTTGAAACTTCTGATAGTGTGGGAGGGGAGGGAGGCTCATCCCCTTGACCTCCTGGTTCCCACACCGCTGTCCATCTACGTAAACATGCTGGAATCTGCAGAACACTGATGCTGTTTGGAACCCTGGCGTGTGACGACAAGTGTTCAGCATCATCTAAGAATTGAAGATCGTATGATTTCTGGAGCCAGCTTAGCGGAGACCGCCATTACAGACGTGTGGCTGTTTGGATCGGTCAAGTGTCGGCGGCACCCATGCTCTTACTTCTGATATTTGTTTTTTGTTGGGGAGGGTGATCACATTACATTGCATGTATCTTTTTGTTTTACGCCTTCTTGTGATTGCACATCCAGAACGAAACTAATAACGATTTAGACCGGTGTCAGTTATCGCATGGTTGAATCTACCTGACTAAAGACAACAATACATACCACGAAACCCATATTTGCGCGGCGATCCGATGTCCCTTGTTTGATGGGATAGTGATGTTATACCCCCGGCTTTGATCATGATCTTGTACCCTCATTCCCGATGCTGACCTCATATCCCAATGCCCATCACGACCCATGTGCATGGAAGCCTGCTACCCCCAGCTTCATGGGTGGCTCGATACGTTATCAAACGACGGTGACCGTGTCAGCATGACCGTGTCAGCTGTCTGTGTCAGCGCTGACGACGACTCCATATATCAGCGCCGTCGTTGGTCCAGCACTGCTACTGTTGGTGATTCGCCCCACCAACACCAGTAGTGATAAGTTACCCCAGCATCGCCGGAGATTCCATATCTCAACGCCAGTGAAGACCCGACAGCCATTCATTGTCGCTGCCACTGCCGGCGGCACCAGCGCTGATTTCTCTGGGGGCCGGTCGGCGTCGCACCGGGGGACCGATCCCTCCGGCGGTGGTGCAGCGGCGTCGCTCTTTACGAGCGGCGCCGTCGGCGGTCCCCGGCGGTTCCGGCGCCGGGGCAAGGCCAGGACGGGCCGCGGCAGGCGCCAGGCTCGCGGGAAGGACGTCATGCGAGGGTTGCCGGTCGGGATAGGTGTACCAGGCGCGGGCTACTGGATCAGGGGTGTCAGACCAGGGATAGACTAGTTGGGGGGGGGGGGGGGGGGGGGCAGGCGACGATTGTCAGACGACCGGAGGCCACGATACGAGACCCCAGACGCAAAACATTGGACGACCGATGCCAAACGAGGCGTCACACTTCGACGACAGGCCAGGGGCGCCAGACAGCAGATGTCAGACCAGGGACGCCAGGTGCAGACGTAGGTGGACACTGTACTGGGGCTGTTAGACTGAGGAATCCATTTGGGCGTTAACGAGACCAAGAATATCGCACATTTTATGCGGAACAAAGAGCTTCTATTCCCGGTATCCACGCCACAAACAGTACAAGCTCCGAGCCCTGCCAAAGCCGAGATAGTCGAGAGAAGCAGTCCAGTTATCACGTTCGGCTTGGGCTGGACTGTCAAATGTTAGACATGTTTGACACATTCTCACATCGCTTTGATGTTGGAAGGACAAGGAGGCGCAAGTAAATGCACCGCATTGATTTCTGCGCTGAAATGAAGCTGACGCGCGCGGCTGATACCATCGTCACGTTTGACGACGCTTCTGATTGGTCTAGGCCAAAGTTAATCGTTGCCTGATCTCCTAGCACATCACTAACGTGGCTGTCCGAGGCCCGGACGTGTGCGTGAAAGTTCAACTCGTCGACAAACTGCTAGATAAAGTGGATTCTTCCCGCATTTTTTTAGTCGTCATGCGTGTCAGAGAGCGGTTAATTACCAGCCTGACAGCCTGAAATTGAGCCTTTCGAAGAGTTTTCTTCCTGGATGTTGACTAGCGTGACCCAGCTGTGTTCGAGAACTAACCGGGCCCGTTCAAGCTAACCAGCCCAGTGTTGCATAGCTTGAGACTACTTCCATTGCCCCATTAAGCTCAGCGCCATTTCCAAACAAGAACACCTGCGGCCTGCCTCCCAGTAAGTAGTCAGACTTGGTTTCAATAACGCATTAGAGACGCTTTATCAAAATTTGGTCCAAACGGTCCGCATTCACGGTGCTGAACATTGTGCATGTGATAGAAAGGCACTCTCAGAGGACGAGGCAAGTCTAAAAAACGGAGTCCCTCGGACCATTTTCCGACTCCTTTCTTCCATACACCGCCGTATGGTTAATATTAAACTTCCACAAAAAGTGAGGACACCATAAGAGGCCATGCAACGTGCTCCGTCAGCACACTTCTATGTCTGTTGTGTGCTTTGATTAATGTAGAGCCAGGTCTTATATAGAGAGTTATAACGCTGAACGGATTGGGTTCCCGCTCTTGCCTTCCAGGACATCGCAGATGGACGTTTTCCGCAGGCCGTGCTACGCCGCGAAAAGGCCTTCCAGTATCCGCTGACTTCTCCGATCGGCTGTCAGTTGATCGTGACACATGTGTCAGGCCAGAGCAACTCAACCCAGTGATCATGCCTGGGAGCCTGGCAAACGCACCTTGAGTGAAAAGTTCTAGCAACTGATCTAAACGGCCTTGCGTAGCTTCAAATGCCTCTTCCCGTCAGATTTTCCAAGTTTTTGAATGATGTATGAGTTCCTCCTGCTATTCGTATGCTTTTGTTTTAAAGTACACAACTGGAAAATGGGTTTCTGACTCAGTACAACCAAACACAAAGGTCTAATTTGAATTATTATAATAAACTAGTGCCCTCGATTGTCTACGGGATTTCCTGAAAAAATACCAAGTACCGGGCACTGTTTTTGCCAGCAGGTGGCGCAGATATCACTAAATAGGTTCGTCGCTCAATGGATGAATTCCTCCTGCCAGTTGCTCAATTTTGTCTAGGCCACATAGTTGGAGAAATTCCACTACGAACGTTCTAAGATAGTTTCAAACTGCTTCCTGGCCCCATTTGACAGGGAGTCGCATGGGTGTATCTTTCACACTCTCTTTCCTAATTTCTTGGAATGCTGGCAATAGTACTAGCCTTATTCTTCAGAGAAAAGCCAGGAGAATAGAGGTATAGTTGGACTAACCCAACAACATCTCCATTCTCCTGGTTTTTCTCCGAGGCATAAGGCTATTGCTACTGTCTTATCCATGTGAATAATGTTCCTCGCTAATGTACTGAACAACGTACGTAATTTCTCGGAATGCATCTTTTCCTGCTGAATGATATGAATGTCGGTTTTGAAGCATGCATCTCTGTCTCATCTCATGCTTATATTTTAACGCCGGTCGCCATACAACACGTAGTTTTAGTGTTATAACATTTCTAGAAACACTGGTGATTTACGGGTGGTTTGAGGCGTGTTCGTGATGCAGATGGAATATTCTGTTGGGTCGTTGACCGCGTCATTGTTGGAGCAGTATCCTTAACGAGGACGTTAGCCCGAATGGCAAACCCATCTTGACGAAGTGAGTCTATAAAGCCTGTTGCAACTTCAATACCCATTGTAAATCTAGGTCGTGTATAGCACTCTCCGTATATTATCCGTCGCGTTGCAAATATGCATACACACTTCAGATAAATCACGGCACATTCGCGAATACCATCCTACTTATGTGCCATCGCATGCAGTGTTTGTTGTTTCCTTTACAACAATCTCCAACTTCGCATTTGTTCAGAACTTATCTTACTCTCGATTGTTTCACAGCTGTTTTTAGTTCAGACCGCTCCATGGTCATCCACATTCTTGACTGCTCCCTAGCCGTGTGTAACTTACAGCTCTTTCATTAACCATTTATGGCTTTCAGCAACGACCGCCTGGAGAGTCAGAGTCATAGGAGCCACTTATATCGCGCGGCCGTCTCCGGTCCTCGGCTGAACTGTCTGTGACCGCCGCTTCCTCCATAGCCGTCCGTAACTGCTGCCTCCTCCACAGCCGTCCGTGACTGCCGCCTCCTCCATAGCCATTTCTAATTGCTGCTTCCTCCACAGTCTTCTCTGAATGACTCCTCCTCCACCGTCGTCTGTGACTGCCGCCCCCTCCACAGCTGAATCTGACTGTCGCCTCCTCCACAATCGTCTGTGACGGCCGCCCCCTCTATAGCCGTCTCTAACTACTGCTTCCTCCGCAGCCGTCTCTGACGACCACCACGCTGCAGCGGAAGAAGTCGATGCCGGACGCGGCGACGCTGCCGGTGAAGGCTCGCGTTATGCCGCGGGAGGAGGCCAACTTCCTGGCCGCCAGCCAGCGGGACGCACTGCGCCGACAGGCCGAGGAGGCGGCCATGTACCGCGCCAACCCGCTGCTCTACGTATACAATCCCAAAGTCAAGGTGAGCGCGGCCCGTGGGATTGCTAGCGGCACATATTTGCCGACTCTGTGGTATGAGTCTGCGCTATGTGTCACCTGTGGAGTTGTGTGAATTCAGGTTGTTCTGAACCCTGTGGAGCTGCGCGACGTGGTGCTTTTTTTTGCACTTGCAACGATCACTAAACTCACCAACACTTGTGGTGTTGGATCACCTTAGGAGACAGTGTAATTCGATGGCAGATCGTGTGACTGTTGTCAGTCTAACTGACATGAGAAGACTTCATGCCCCACGCGGGGCTTACGTTGATCGTCAGGCTAGGCGATGTTCAGCGGTTGACCCCACTATTCCGTTGCAGGATTGGTTCTCCAGGCAGCGGCTGGTACTAGCCGTAATCATCATCAACATCTCATTGGCGATCCTGTTCTTGAAGCTCTTGACATAGCAGTGGCCTTACAACCAGTGCTCGTGCTACATTTGTACTTTGAAGCGCCGCCAGTCGAGCCGTGATTGGCCGAGAGTGGGCCGCGTCTGCAACCCAGTGACCAATCGGTGCCTTGACCCGCGTGCGGGAAAGCGACCTGTCTAGTGTCGACACCGACGCGAGTCATCAGAGGAAGCGACGACCGAATGCGAGATATTTTTCACCAGAGGCTCAACCGAGCCTCGGCCTCGTGCCTTGAACTCGTTTTTAATTCGTAAAATTAGTGTTTTTCTGCCTAGTGGGCGGTTGTGAATATTTCCCATCGTGTTGTCACCGAATCAAACCCGTCGGGTAATGAAAGTGAGCCTCCTCGTCTGTAATTGATCTTCGCCCTGGTGGCCGAGACCAGAAAGGGCTTGCTTCCCCCTGTGCTCACCCAGATTCGAATGTGCCGACCTGATGATTCGATCCTTTTTGACTCTATGCTTCCTCTTCTTTCGCATGTCTTTTTGCATGCCATTCTGGCGTTCCATTGTGTTTGTGCAGTTCCGACACGCATACCCACCGCTGTGAGCGGACGCTGTGCGCTGCACGATGCTCACACACCCCTATGACGATGCACGGCACCCGCCAGCAGCTGACCTATGTGTGGTTCGGCCACCGCTAGACGGCAGCACCAGCCGTCGCCATTAGCCGTGATCGCCCGTGGACGCCCGCGAGCCTGTCCAACGAGTGCCATCAAGTCCTGGCCCCGTATCTGCATAGTAAAAAGGCGACATGCCGCTAGCATGTGCAGCCCGTCGTCACCCTCCACTGGGATCAGTAGACTGCTCTACTGACAAGAATCCGGCCGGGGATTGGTGCGCAATGGACCTTCTACGCGGTAGATCGAAGCCAATAGCATTTGCACCGCACGCTCATGTTTTTGACCATTGATGGATTATGTATCCGTTGAAGCAAGCAACCGAAGACACACATTTTCCCAGCAACTGCCGACAACTTTAACCTTGCATAAATACAAACCACAGATACCTATACTGACGTTTGTGAGCTCCTGAGAACTGATGGTGGACGTCTGGACGGATGTTTCCCATTCGAATGTTGAAGGCCGTATTGTGGTTCGCGTCCCTCCATTCTGAGGTAGAGAGGACCGGCATGCTAGATATTTTCCTGCGGAATTAGCCCATATATGGTTTCCCAGGGTGAAATCAAACCGCTAGAGCGTTTGCAAAGATAAGCAATCGATGTAAGTCGGAGAAGATCGAGACGCCTCCTTAGCAATACGGAACGAATTTTAGAGTTCAGTAGTTTACTTCCTGCTCATTTAATGCCTGAATAGCCAACGACAACAAAATATGGCACGTTCAGAGAACTTTTCACACTGCTATTGTTCGTTTCAGTCAGTCAGTTCTGCAAGAGGAAAGCCAGTGGTCAGAGGTGGCGGCGACCACCATCATTTGTAAAAGTTGCGTGACAAATAACGACATATGACCCACGTCTTTATCTGCATACTTTGTGACAGTTGTCTATTATTTTTGCGTGTTTTGTGTTCAACTTTGAGTAGTTTATGTGCTTTGCGACAGGCGAGCATCCAGTATGCTTTGTAAAAGCACGTTGAGAGCCGAGGAAAGGGGTGCTGAAAGGCCGAATTGATAAGCAACCAGCTGCATTAGCATTTTGCTGCCTCTATCCAGAACACCAGCCTGTTGCTTAAAGGAAGTATTTCACATTTGTGTAGCTTTTTAAAACTGAAATAACCACCTTGAAGACCATTCAGTGCAGTTCACTGTCCTGCCATTCTTAAGACATAAATTCCTCTGGTTTCTGGGCTGCATGCTCGCGGAGGTATGCAAACTAATTCGGGGATGCTACTTCAAGGTCACCCAAGCACCCATGACACCATTATCACGTCATTAAAATGCTGCCATTCTATTGACCACTGCAAATGGGATTACGGTGCAAATAAATCTTACATTTGATGGCTGGAATATCCTAATAGCACGGGACAATAACGCTACTCCCTAGACGAAGGGTGGTAACGTCTGCGTCGGCGATGGTTCACGTAGCATAGGGGATGCCCATGACGCGTTTACGAGAAATTGGCTTTAGAAAGAGGATTAGCCTGACTTTTTTACTTTTTCACGCCATTTATCACTTCAAAGACTCAAAGTGTTAAAGCAATTGATTGGTCTCAACGAGATGTCACAGCTGACAATGGGTTTCAGACTGCTAAATCAATGTTAAGTATGCTTAACACCACTAGACCAAGTCAAAAGGTAAGTTTTCCTGAAAAAGCGGACTAACAGCTTGAGCTATTTCTGCTTTACGTACCCATCTATACGAAGTCCTGCCACAAAACAGTGCAGAACTGACGCAGACGTGTTCATTGTTTGGCTCCAGGTATGTTTTAGGAAAGTTTTGTGTGCTTCGAGCATATCATTATGAAATAGACCTCAGTTCATGAGCCAGGTCGTTCCCGTCGCCAGGGGTTGGCGGATTTGTCGGTTGTTGGTTGTTGGCTGATTTGTCGGTTGCCGTCCACCGCTCGCGCTCGCCGTAGGTCGCCGAGCAGTGCTCCTATACTTAAAAATGGTCGCTACTCAGAAACCAGAAATGCCAGAGATACGTTTTTTTTTTGGTCAAAACACGCGCAATGCATGCCCCAACGACGCATGAACATCTCGGAAGGACATCTTCAGAGAACCTTAGGGGTAGGGGGCATCGGCTCTTCCCTACCAGGGCGACAGTTAAGTGCAGTCTTAGTCCGGTGTCCCCTGCTACACATTGGCCCGTTGGGACTGGAGGCTCTCCTCTATCAGGGCGACAGTTAAGTGCAGTCTCAGTCCGGTGTCCCTTGCTACAAACTGACCCGGCGGGGCTGGAAGCTCTCCTCTATCAGGGCGACAGTTAAGTGCAGTCTCAGTCCGGTGTCCCTTGCTACAAATTGACCCGGCGGGGCTGGAAGCTCTCCCCTATCAGGGTGACAGTTAAGTGCAGTCTCAGTCCAGTGTCCCTTGCTACAAATTGACCCGACGGGGCTGGAAGCTCTCCCCTATCAGGGTGACAGTTAAGTGCAGTCTCAGTTCGGTGTCCCTTGCTACAAATTGACCCGGCGGGGCTGGAAGCTCTCCTCTATCAGGGCGACAGTTAAGTGCAGTCTCAGTCCGGTGTCCCTTGCTACAAATTGACCCGGCGGGGCTGGAAGCTCTCCTCTATCAGGGCGACAGTTAAGTGCAGTCTCAGTCCGGTGTCCCTTGCTACAAATTGACCCGGCGGGGCTCGAAGCTCTCCTCTATCAGGGCGACAGTTAAGTGCAGTCTCAGTCCGGTGTCCCTTGCTACAAATTGACCCGGCGGGGCTGGAAGCTCTCCTCTATCAGGGCGACAGTTAAGTGCAGTCTCAGTCCGGTGTCCCCTGCTACACATTGACCCGGTGGGGCTGGAATATTTTCCACCGCCCTCCAATCGCTTGGGTCAATTAAAAAAGAACAAAATTAGCATAATAAACAAAGCTATCCTTTTCCTTCCAGCGATCCTTTTCCTAACCTGCCGTAGCACCACCTGTTAACCATTTATTTGCGTTCACGCGGAATGAGGACCCGTTCTTATTGAGACACTTTCCCCTGCTTTGGCTCGAGGTGGTTTCATACATCAGCCACTGTCTATTGATACCGTGTGAGATTTTATGCAGTTATTTTTCCAACAAAATCCAAATATCTCCTGAGCCAGCCAATACACTGCCTCAATCATTTAGCTAAAATGCCCAGTATTCACAGCCTGTGAACTAACAAACAGACCTTGAATGTAAACCGAACAGCAGGGTGTGTACGTATCTAGTCTTCATGAAATTAGGGATTGCTACAAAAAAATAATTCGGAATCACTAGACACCCAACCAACAAATTGCATAAGGTGCCTCGGCGCCGGACATGTTGCCATATGAATAGCGTGGTCACATTCACATGTTCTTCAATATTCCAACCTAGCTTGATTTGTGCGTGAAAATGAACTATGGGCACACGATACCATATCTGCGGACATGATACTACTGCCATACCTAAGGACATATACTGCGTGGGATGCCATACCAAATACGATGCCTGCAAGATCTCAAAACGTCAGCGTCGTGCTCGACCAAATTTGTTTACAAAGTATGAAACCACCAAAACGGCTAAACGGCTAACAGCTAAAAAACGGCTAACAGCTAAACGCAGTTTCCCCGACTGTATACTCACATCGCGTTTGACAAAATCTTAGTCGGTTGAGCTGGTAAACTTCCAGCGGCAAATAATGGGTGCTGCATTACGCATCCAAAAGCCGCATACGTAAGTCAGTGTACGACAAAAGCCTGAGCACGCAATCTGCGTTCCCATATAAGTGACAGATGTGCATCACATGTGTAATAAGCACGAACACATGCACATCGCTTGCATAACGCTTTTCTGCAGATTACCCCCTAATGAGTAGATTGGGCACAGCGACAGCATATAAACACTGGTACGCATCACACGTTAATTCGGCATGCGCTACCACAGGCGGTTACGAGGCATTAAGCACGCCTACAGGCACAGGTACACGCAAGTACGAGCGTACGCTGGTTACAGGTTACAGGTACTGGTAACAGGTTACGCTGCACACACATTACTAGAGACGCCGCAGAAATATTCCATTGCAAGGGTGGAGATCAGGTCCTTAAGACAAAGATTTTGGTGTTGTTTTTATTTTTAGCGGTGATGGAGGGGATATTTCCACTTCACTTTGGGGAAGAGACAAACACGTGGCCAGAGCCGCGAAATACTTGCTCCACCTGTGTGTAGAGAAGGCTACTATTCGTATGGAAGGCTGAACATTTTCGAGACAGGGACGAAACCGAATTCGGAGACTCGGAAAAGTCTTTCGGTACGCTAGTCATACTATCACAATCATCGGCATTTTTCTTCGGAACACAGCATTAACGGCTCAGGTCAATGCTAACGAGATGACAACGTTTAGTCTGATTTAGGTCCATCACAACCACTCCGAAGTCCGATTTTTAGATTCAATTTGGCTTTCACAACAACCGTAGAGCAGCGGCACTATATGCGGTGGCAGTTTTCTGGATCCGAATTGGTGTTTTCATAGTATCGGGGTCAGAATATCGGTCATGGGAGTAGTTGGGCTGTGTTTGAAGTTTTGGAAGAATGAAATGCATGACTGCATCTGCCATTTTTTTCAATAAGTTGCTGACAATATTATCTGGCTTTATCGTGGTAACATTCATGGTGGAATTGTCAAATATTTATTCAATATCAGTGCAATGCAAAATTATGGGTAACGTTCCATGAATACTTGACAGTTGACTATACTTGACTGTTGAATACTTGACAGTACTTCCATGACAGTTGAATTGAACGTTCGATCCTCAAAACGCCGTTTATGCCCGATTTCATCCAAAGACGCACATTTTTCCTGACCACGTGAGCAACAGAGATCGGTTGATTCGGGAACAAAATAACTTTTTTATTGGACGGTGATGGCTGTCGAGAGACGCGCGCGGGCGCATTGGCTGATCCAGGGAACTGAGCAACACGGTTATGCCGCCCTTCCAGTTACAGGAAGGGTAAGTGATAATGTTTATAACATTTTGAAACAAGGACCTTGTCGATCGGTTGCGAGTAATTTTTTCAAGGGCGCGTCAAATGCAACGGCTCTTTGCGACGGTTACGTATCAGTGCAACAGTCTGCGTGACCGTCACATACAAACATAATGGGGCATGCACGCGGAAGGAAGAACAAGATGCTGACAGCTGTTAAGGCTTGTGTCTATCCGGTCTCCTAGCATTTTTGGAAACCGAAGATGAGGCCATGGCATGAAGCACGGGACACAAGTTTAAGGAACTCGCAATGCGTAAAGGAATCTTGTAGCTGACGCTACCAAACCAAAGATGTCTGCCACCAAAACGTCAATTCCCAAGCTCCAATTATGGCGATAGCAAGACAGTTAAAGTAGTCAGCTTCTCACGCAAGTGACGACACCGGCAACACGCGAGTTCTTTCGTCGGGTTGTCGCAGCGTGATTCTGTGTAAGTTCAAAGGTAGTCAAAAGTTATAAGCCGGAAAGGAAAAGCTTGTCTCTCTTCACAAGCTGTTACCTCAGATTTTGCCAACTTCTTAACTTAATGCCTGATTGCTGGATGAGTCATTTGTATCGGTCCAAAGAGAACATTTTTGATGGAATGTACCATGTGTATGATTGATTTATGTGAGTGGAGCAATTTTGTCTCCAATTTTATCTTTTTGAGGCAACTGTTTTCATCTATAATTAGTTACTGACCAGTCTGCAAAAATCCATCTACCATACCAAATGCTTACATGTCTGCATCTGCATGGGATTGGCTCACTCAATGTGTAGCATATGTGCATCAAACTTAGGCTAGGTAAAATTGTGCTGAACTTTCAAAGTAATTTGTACCAATTTTTGTGGTGACAGTTTGCTTAAAGTTACTTAAGTACAAAGCACCATCATAAATCTTTGTATTTTCAAAACAATTGCCCTACACACTAAAATTTGTGATCATGAGCTAAAACTTGGTTATCACATTTATGGTGTGTGTGCACCTTAAACTGCTGCCTGAATGTCTGCTATGCCAGGGATGTTTGTCATCACATGTATTTTGACACCTGGGGTATTAGCTAAGTAATTTTGGACATAGAGACATTCTTAGGATGCATTATGATGATCCTGGCCTGAAGATATCAAATGACTGAGGGGCTCATGCCTGTTACAGTTGAAACTACAAAATAACACCACTATCATTAGGGTTATGGAACAGAGTGATGTATAAGGCATGTTGCTTTATTACATATTTTTTTCTGACATACATGGATGGTCCCTTAGTTGCTCTTAAGGGTGTGAACATTGGGAGTTTTATGATATCTGATTTTGATATTTCATTGATGTTATATGGAAGTACCATGGTATATTAGCTTACAACATTTTATGGTTTATTTTAGGATACTTGGGCTGACCACTCTTTTCTAATATCAACTCTGACAAGCCTCAGCAAGTGTAGGTTCTGTGCTTCATGAATGAGCATGCAAGATAAAACAAAACTCGAACAAAAGAAAATCAGTTATAAATGTGAGTTGAGTGTATGAGGTACCATGTTCAATGTTTAAACTCCACAACAGTCCTCAAGATGCATGTAGAACACAATGACAAAATATAATCACAAAATAATGAAATGATAAGAGATGAATGGTTGGAAACCTGCAGTTTTGAATGCATGCGCTCAGTTGCCTGCTCAGATACAGGTTATCTTGTTGTGCATAATGCATGCAAGAAGTCTGCAGTGCATTCAAATTGATGAGTATGATATGCACTTTGCTCTACAAACTATATGAAATTCATTGAACAAATTCACATACAATTGTGGAAAAATTCACTGCAAACTTTTGGCACATTTTCTTGAATGTTTCTCTATGTCATCACTATTCCAAAGCTTAACATACTGTTTTAGCTGCAGCTTCAGTAATGCCAGCAGATGTAACAGTTTGTACCCATGAAACATTATAACTGCATTCTGCCTGGTGTTTGCTGTGCCAGGGTGTGTGTGTGTGGGGGGGGGGGGGGGGGGGGGGGTCAGGGGAATTTGTCTGAGTTAGGATGTCTCATAACTCTACCATGAATCTGCATACTTACTGACTGCCTGGCTATTACCAGGTGTGCTGTGGATGAATATCAGGTGCTGCATAACTCACCAACCTCTGACTTTAGAGATCATGCATGCAAGGCCAGATGGCTTTGTATTCATGCTTGCACAATGACCTATCATCACAATTGTTTGCCTTACAGGCACACAGGTGATGCAGCTGACATGAGCGGCCTCTCTGTCCACCTGGAGGTGCCCTTCGCCAGTGCCCGGCAAGCCGAGATCGCCTACAACTCGCTGCGTGTGGACAAGGAGCCGCGACGCGCCACCACCACTCGCCAGCTCTCCCTGGAGGGCGAGCGGATGCTGGTGTCCTTCGACGCGCCGGACGCCCGCAGCCTGCGCACTGCCGTCAACGCGTTCATGGACCTGCTGGTGGTCGTCACACAAACGCTCGAGCGCTTCGGCGGCGATCAGCCTGCCGCGTGTGAAAAATGCTAATCTTTGTGTGCGGAACGGGTCGAAAGATGGCGCTGCGATCGCCGTGGCCGCTGCGAAAGCGGCCGTCGTACATACGTGCTGTTCAACGGCTGCTGTTCACTGAGACTGGTGTGTGGGTAAGTTAGACGGGCATGCCAGGTGTAGCTTGGTCATGTGTTTTACTAGCTCTTGGCGTGTTGTCCATGCATGATAGATGCAGTATGAATCTCTTTTAACAGTGATGTGTTAATGTGCTTAAGCTTGCCGTTGCCCGGCAAGTAAGCTTTTTCGAAGCTTTTTTTAGAATATAAAGATGATTGCAGTTGATGATTGTCATCACATGAGTGCTATTGTTGGACAGCCTTCACTTCATATGCATTTCGTCGTCAAAAGGATCCAGTTCCATACCATTATCTCCACAAAACCATACTCACCCACCTCAGACCTCCTGATCCCCCGTCCCCTCTGTTACCGCCGTACCCCCGGTGACCGCCGGCGTCGTCCGTCGGCAGGGCGAGCTGACGAACTCGGAGCGGCTGGCGGCCGAGCGGGCCTGGCTGGCGCGGGTTAGCGCCGCGCCGGCGCCGCCGGAACCTGGCCAGCCCAGCGCCTACGTGCTGGCCATGTTCCCCTACCCGTCCGGCCGGCTGCACATGGGCCACGTGCGCGTGTACGCCATCAGCGACGCGGTGGCTCGTTTCCATCGGCTCATGGGCAAGCAGGTGCGCGCGCCGGCCGGGCTGCGCACGACGCCGGCTGTGCGCGGTATGAAAAAGACGTGACATGGTTGGCATGGGAAATGGCAGGCTGTCGAATGAATGGAATGCAATGCGATCGCGGTCGTCACTGTATGCATTGTCAGGTCGCCCGACTGGCTGTCTGGTTTGCTGATGGTAGCTTTCACTCCTGCGTCCGAGTCCGTGGGCCGAAATATGAACTTGCTGCCGATTCGAACCTACGGTCAAGTCATGCACGCTTCTGAAGGACGCCTTTTCCCGACCTAAGCAATCACCTATGAGGAGGCGATCCTCCCATTGCACTGGAATGCCATCCCTCTGTGCAACCCTGGTACTCTGCGCAGGTCATGCCCTACTGGGGCATCTCTCCTGACCCCGGCACAGATTGGGTCAGGGGCGATACTCCCGCCCCACCCCCCGGGCGGGCGACGGGGCGGGATTGGTTTCGTCCCCTGACCCAACACTGGCTGCCACTGGCCCACCCCAACACGCCCGCGCATCTACCGCAGGGGCGTGGTCTCGACCCTGACCCTGACCCTGACCGCAGCCCTGACCTCGGCCCTGACCTTGACCCTGACCCGTGCGCAGGTGATCCACCCGATGGGCTGGGACGCGTTCGGACTGCCGGCGGAGAATGCCGCGCTCGAGCGCCGCCTGCCGGCCGACGAGTGGACGCACGACAACATCGCGCACATGCGCAGCCAGCTGGAGCGCATGGCCTGCTGCTTCGACTGGGGCAGCGAGCTGACCACCTGCCGGCCCGACTACTACCGCTGGACACAGTGGCTCTTCCTGCGGCTCTACCGCGCCGGCCTCGTGTACCGACGAGAGGTGGGATGTGCGTTACTGCGCGTCTGGGAAACCAGAGGCACGGGGTTCGATTCCCCGCGGTGCCCGCCCTTCCTGCCAGGGTGAGAGGCAGGCGACGCGATATAGCCTCAGCTGGGTGCGTCGTGAAGCCCCAATCACACACACACACACACACACACACACACACAGGTGGGCTGTGCGACGGGAGTCGGAGGCCTCGTTTGTCGGCTGAAAACTCGCTGGTGGGAGTTCTACAGTGCTCGATGCGTGGTGACCAGATTGCAGGACGTCCCTACTAAAGCGTTCGAGCCGGGATAGTTGACTGGTCTTACGTCGTCCCGGTTGCGACGTACGCAAAAGATTGTAACGCCAATGATCGCAAGAGCCAATGTGTCGTGAAATAATTCAAATCGCTCATCCGTTTCCGTGATGCGACTGATGCGGAGGTGGGACGCCCTCTTGATCTTTCTTTGTTGAGGATGGAAGGTGATAAGCTCTGTTTTGCCGTCTAGTTCCTCCGTGAACTTCTTTTCTAACGGCGATGATCACGTCTCGAACCATGCACATCTCCGACCGCGACTAACACGTGATGGCGGGCTCTGCCCGCCTGCCAGTGGCCTGAGACGCCATCCCTGACTGTGCGCGCCATCCCCCGCCCGGCAGGCGCTGGTGAACTGGGACCCGGCCGACGGCACGGTGCTGGCCGACGAGCAGGTGGACGAGCAGGGCCGCTCGTGGCGCAGCGGCGCGCTCGTCGAGCGGCGCCACCTGCGCCAGTGGTTCGTGCGCACCACGCGCTTCTCGGAGCGGCTGCGGCGCAGCCTCGACTCACCGCAGCTGCGGGACTGGCGCGACATCGTCCAGCTGCAGAAGCATTGGATCGGAGAGTGCGACGGCTGGAAGTTCGAGCTGAAGGTGCGGCCAGGCTGGGCCTGGGGTCGCAGTGTCCCGCCGTCGGGCTCAGGGCTGGAAAGGGGTGCAGCGGCCGCTCGGGGCATGCAGATGCCGGTTAGATGAAGTGAACTGCGAACGGCTGCGCTCAGCGTCCTGCGACTAACGGCGGATGCCGCTGTGGCGTTCTGTGTGGTCCGTAGTGCGGCGCTGTGCACAGCTTAGGAGGGGTTTGATCATAGCCCAGTTATGACTTAGACACTAACCTTTGGTACCAAGTCTCTGTTTTGGGACCGGCCTGTAGCGCGCTCGTCACTGAGCCGCCGTGTGACACCTGTCTTTCCATCCGACCTCAGGTGGAGGACACCACCGACCCGGACTCGCGGCCGGACCCGCTCCTGCTCTGGACAGCCGACCCGCGCCGCTTCGCCCGCGCCTCCTTCATCGGCCTGCGCTCGGAGCACGCGCTGGCAAGACGCCGGCCCTCCGGCGGCGGCGCGGCGACGCCCCTCAGCGCGCTGAACCCGGCGACGGGCGGCCGGCTGCCGCTGCTCGTCAGCGACGCGCTGACCTTCCCCGACGGCGCCGACGCCATGCTGTGCGCGGCCGAGGACGGCGGCGAGGCGGCGCACCTGGCCGCGGCCCTCCCGCCACCGCCGGGGGGAGCGCCGCCGTCGCTGGAGGCGGTGGTGGCGGCCGGCGGCGGCTACCGCTGCTCCAGCCGCCTGCACGACTGGCTGGTGTCGCGCCAGCGGTACTGGGGCACGCCCATCCCCGCCGTGCACTGCCCGGCGTGCGGCGCCGTGCCGCTGCCCGAGCGCGAGCTGCCCGTCCGGCTGCCCCGGCTGCCCGCGTCGGGCGGCGGCGGCTCGCCACTGCTGGAAGCCACGGACTGGCTCAAGGTCGACTGCCCGAGGTCAGTAGCGGCGGCGCGTGCAGTGGGCTGGCTGGTGTGCGCGGAAGAACTGACTTGATGCGAGGAGCGGTGAAGGGCTCGCGTTTTTGTTGCTCCGTCCCGGTCTGCGAATGATGTGTTTATGGAAAAACTGAATGAACAACGTCATGGTCGGCCTCGCGTGTCTGATTGCACCGTTTTCTATCGTGCCTTGCAACGCCTCCCGACATCACTAACACTCGTGCCACCCCAGCTGCGGAGGACCGGCGCAGCGCGAGACGGACACCATGGACACCTTCGTCGACTCGTCCTGGTACTACCTGCGCTTCCTGGACCCGCGCAACTCGAACGCGCCCTTTGACCCTGACAAGGTCAACGCGCACATGCCGGTCGACATCTATGTCGGCGGAAAAGAGCATGGTAGGTCAATGTTACTTAGATTGCAACCGATTTCTTCCCCTTTTCTCCATAGGAAGAACTCTTCATACAGTTGTTTTGGTCATGCTTGAGAGGTTTAAATAACGCCTTCCGGTCTAACGTGTTCCAGACAGTGCAACGAATGTTGGGAAGCATTGTGGTGGTCTTAACGTTTTTCTCAGAATCGGTTTTTACTTTCGCCGCAAGCTGGCTTATCCAAAGCCCGGCAGTTGGAAGCGTGATCACTGTATGCGTGTTATGAAAAGTGTTCTTTAGCTGTACCAACGTCGCCAGTCACCAAAATGACGTCGTCATGTCATTGGCTGGTTACGCTGTCGGCCCCGGCAGCCCGAGCGGGTGCCTTTATGTCCCGGCGGTGTCCCAGTCTGTTCCCGTGGTTAGAGTTGTTCTGTTCGGGCAGCCGTGCTGCACCTGTACTACGCGCGCTTCATCCACCACTTCCTGCACTCGCTGGGGCTGGTGACCTGTGAGGAGCCATTCTCGCGTCTGCTGGTGCAGGGCCAAGTCATGGGCCAGAGCTACCGCGTCACCGAGACGGGCCGCTACCTCCGGCCCGACCAGGTGCAGATGTCAGGTGCGTGAGGTCGGGTCAGGTCAGGCCAGGTCAGGTCAGGTCAGGTCAGGTACAGATGCCAGGTAAGGGCCAGGTCCTGTGGAGTTGGTCAGGTCAGATGCAGATGTCAGGTAAGATCAGGTAGTGATGTCAGGTCAGGTCATGTACGATGTCAGGCCTGGTCATGTGGAGATGTCAGGTCAGGTCATGTGCAGATGTCAGGTCAGGTCATGTGCAGATGTCAGGTCAGGTCATGTTGTATCCAGATGTCAGGTGAATCATGCCAGGTCAGATTCAGATCTCGGTGGATTGCACTGTGCCAGGCGAAGTAAGCGCTTAAAACGTCTATTCATACTGGATACGAAGCATGCTGATGTTTATTAGCGGAGATGTTCTTCTCGCAGCCTCACATGGTCACTCATCCTGACCGATCGCTCCGTTTCGCCCGCGCCGTTCTACTGCTGCTGCTGCTGCTGCTGCTGCGGACCCTAACCCCGTCCACCGTGCTCAGAGTCAGGAGATGCGGTGGACGTGGACTCCGGCCGGCCGGTCACCGTCCAGTGGGAGAAGATGTCCAAGTCGAAACACAACGGCGTGGACCCGGCGGAGGTGATTGGCGAGCTGGGCGCCGACACCATGCGGCTGCTGATGCTGGGGACGGTGGCGCCCACCTCGTCACGACACTGGTCCAGCGACTGTGAGTGCACGGTTGGGGATGAGGACCGGCGGCGGCGCCTGCCACCTCGAGGTGGGCGTTCTGAGGCGGAGGGCCCAGAGCAGGCCAACTACTGGGTCAGACTTATTGTTGTACGGCCTTTCGTGTGTGACACAGAAGACCGCGGCGGTTTTTTGCGCTTGTGGACTTCGCTATTATGTTCCATGTGGCTAATATTCCTCGTTTGCGACCAGAACAATATTTATCCAGGAAGCACTCCTGAACCCACACTCCCCAGCCTGGCTTTTTTGTGTTTGTTTTCTTGAGAGCGTATCATGTTTTTCCACGTAGTTGCATGTTATCGAAGGATCTCCCTCGCGTCCAATCCGTCATCTGTCCGAAAATGTCCATAAGCAGGCCGACCAGCCGCCCCCGTCTGTCCTCCGTCAGCGTTCCCGCCGCTGCTGGCCTGGCAGCGCCGGCTCTGGATGACGGTCGGCGACCTCCTGCGCCTGCGGTCCGCCCCCGCCCCACCGGCGGGGTCCGGGGCAGGGGATGAGGTGGAGCTAACGCGGCTTGAAGCGGAGATGAGGGAGACGCGTAACTACTTCGTCCGCGCCGTCACGCTCAATTTCCAGGAGACGCATCAGCTGAGCGTGGCCATCACCCGACTGCAGGGACTCACCACGGCACTGAGGGTACGGAAGGGGCTGACGACGGTCCTGATGGTACGGGAGGGACTGACGACGGTCCTGAGGGCACGGGAGGGCTGACGACGATCCTGAGGGTACAGGAAGGGCTGACGACGGTCCTGATGGTACGGGAGGGGCTGACGACGGTCCTGAGGGTACGAGAAGGGCTGACGACGATCCTGAGGGTACGAGAGGGGCTGACGACGGTCCTGAGGGTACGGGAAGGGCTGACGACGGTCCTGAGGGTACGGGAAGGGCTGACGACGGTCCTGAGGGTACGAGAAGGGCTGACGACGGTCCTGAGGGTACGAGAGGGACTGACGACGGTCCTGAGGGCACGAGAAGGGCTGACGACGGTCCTGAGGGTACGGGAAGGGCTGACGACGGTCCTGAGGGTACAGGAAGGGGCTGACCACGGTCCTGAGGGTACGGGAAGGGCTGACGACGGTCCTGAGGGTACGAGAAGGGCTGACGACGGTCCTGAGGGTACGGGAAGGGCTGACGACGGTCCTGAGGGTACGGGAAGGGCTGACGACGGCACAGGGTGACCGCGGCTGGGGTTTCACTAAGACTTACTTTGGAACTGACCACTACTGTTCCTGTGCTCGATGTGCGACAGTGCGCCTGGCATGTGGAGCACCCTGGCCATTCGAAGCGTTGCTGGTCGCGTGACGTAGGCTGGGCGTCATCGCGTGCCTCTCACCTCTTCTTAGTTCATACTAGGGACCACTTCTATTGTTCGTCCCTGACGCCGCCCGCGTTGCCGCTTCTTCTCAGAGGCTGCCCGCCTGGTACCAGGCGCAGGGCGCAGAGTATGAGCGCGCGCTCGGTGACCTGCTGATCATGACGTCACCGGTCATGCCGTGCCTGGCCGCAGAGATGTGGGCCGCATTTACCAGTGTTGTGCGACACGCCCACCCCAGCCACCAGCAGGTCAGAGTCAGTCGGTGCCTGCGCTGGTCTGTACCACTGAGTGTTGTAGCTATTTTTAGGGTCAGGCAATGTGAGTGTGGGTAACTCTGTCCGTTATTATCATGTCAGCCCGTTTCCGTGTCAGCCGGCGTCGGTGTGATCCAACGTCGGTGTCAGCGACAGTGTCACTGTCAGTGTCAGCCAGTGTCCATGTCGGCCCGTGTCCGTGTCAGTGAGTATTCATGCCAGCTGCATTGTCAATGTCGGCCATTGTCAGTGTCAGCCAGGGTCCATGTCAACAGCAGTGACGGTGTCAGCTAGTGTCAAAGCCAGGCAGTGCTGATGGCGGCCACTTATCGGCGACCTTGTCGGCGCCGGGACCGGTGCCATTATCCCCGGCAGACGGCGCCGCGATGTGGCCGATCGATCTGCCGGGGCTTCCCTGCTGTTGTCAGCGCCCGTTGCCATGGCAAACTTGGGCCCGTCCGCGCTGTTTCAGCAGCTGATCTCAGGACTAAATCTGGCTCCGATGTCAGATATGAGTTTCTGTGCGGTGTTTGATGAATACGTAGCATTTGAATGCGTTTTGCTGTCTCGGCGCGTGGTACTGCCTTAGTAGAATGCAAATGTGGTTTGTTGTTTCGTTGTGTGGTAACATCTTGGTGAACCGCGTGGGACAAGCTGTTTTATCTTCTACTCGCTGCTTAGCTACTTGACCGTCGCTACTCGCCGCGAGATGACCGTGGTAATCAAAACGCCCTAAAAATATAAATCGCTAGATTTACTGTTACGGCGCGGTGGATGATATGTGTCTGAACCGTTTGATTTGGGCAGACTCGCTGACAGAGGAGCCTATCTTAAAATGCTGCCACTGCCTATCAAACAATCTGAGCGGCTGGTGATTGGCTGTTTGAGTAATGGCAGCTGCAGATGGACTAACCACGTGACAGCGGCTGTTGCCGACGGACCGCTGTGCGGCGGCTGACGGCCGGTGCCCTGCCGTGTGTGTGATGCCACAGGACTGCACGGTGCTGGAGCAGCGCTGGCCAACAGTCGATGAGGACGCCGCACTAGAGCTGAGCGTCGAGGTGAGCCCTCTGGCGGCCGGCTGGGGTCGCGGCGCGCGGATGATGCCCTTTCTCGATCGCAGTGGATATGTCCTCCCGATAGCCGTGGTGTCGAGCGCTGTCTACCGCCGCTGGACCGTTCCGAGTGTCATGCTTTTCCCCACTGGCGACTTGTGTTCAGCGCTTGCCCAGCATGGGGATGGCCGGGTGTAGCTGACTGGAGGCTTGACCAGAACCCATCGTCCGGTCTATAATTCCTTCAAACTGGACTGCGTTTCAGTCGAGGGGGAAATGTGAAAGGTTGGTGCGGGTACTGTCAGACCCCGGGTGTTTCCGCTGTGCGTCGTGCGTTGTGCTGTATACAAACAAAAAAGTGTGTTCTGCGGTGTTTGAATGGCCAGACCTGCGTTTGCTCCATCCCTGTGAGAGATTTGGCCCTGATACGGCCACCACCCTGCGTGCTCCCGCCGGGCGTGACACCGCGCCGCCGCGCCCTCAGATCAACGGCCAGGAGTCGGCCGTGGTCCCGCTGCCGCGGCGCCAGCTGGACGCGCTGACGCAGGCGGAAGCCTGGCGCCTGGCGCAGGCGGTGCCGGTCGTGGCGCGCTACACGGCTGGCGGCGTCTCCGCCTGCCGCCTGCGCTTGCTGCCCGGCCTCGGCGCCACGCTCAGCCTGCAGGCGCGGCAGGCTCCGGCCGCACAGGCGGACGCTGAGCGGGAGGAGGTGCTGCGCAAGCGGCAGGAGCGCAAGCAGGCCAAGAAGGAGCGGCGCGAACAGCGCCTGCAGCGGCGCGCCGAACGCACCGCCGACGGCAAGTAGCGGCGAGCGGCGTGTCGCTGCGGCGGTCGAGTCAGGAGCAGGGGTGAAGTGTGCGCTCGTCGTCCGCAGGCGGTCTGGTGTGGCATGTGTTGGGTGATGTAGACCTCGCGGACGGAGCGGTGCGTGCCGAGAATGGGCGATGTTTCAGAATATATAATGCTAAGCATGTAGTGTTTTCAATAACGTTTTAAGGCTAACGTCATGTTGATTCGAGTGAAATGGATGCATCAGATTTCTAACTGTTTGTGCTAGACTGGTGACGACCTGGTCATGCCAGTTCTTCTCGCGGGTCAGACAAAACTAAATCTTGCCAGTCTATAGCCTCTACTTGCCAGCTGCACTCACCAACACTCACATCACACCACGTGCACGTGTACACCCAACACCAGTTTGGCGTCTTTGAGTCTATACGCGTAGGAGTATGCATGGTGACGAACGGCTCACCTCACACGCCAACGCCAATCGAAAACCAGTCATGATCACGCTCCACGGAAACTATGTGATTACCTACCAATGAGAAGCGAGCATGACATCGTATGATGGGCTGCTAAACCACTGACAGAGTGTGGGATCGCCTTGTGATACCGGAACTATCTGATGCAACAGAACAAAGATATATGAGGAGGGTAGGATCGTTCGGGGATTTTAGCGCCCCATTCACTCAGCGTTAGCGTGACGTCACCGGGACATTCTCCTCAGCAGCCTCAGCGCGCGGCCCCGCGTGTGATGTAATAGTCCGAAGGAAATAATCGCTCGCCTGCTGGTTTCGTCCTCCCCGGCTACTGCATGTAAAGTTTAGAACGAATGGCTGCTCTTCCTTCTCTTTATGTCGACGTTTTCCACAGATAGTGTCTCACCAAACAAGTGATTTCGCTGTGAATTCGAAAAGCTTGATCTGGACTAGAATTGCATCGCTCGCATTAAGCGAGATCTGTCAGCGATGGTGCCAATGCAGCAAGTCAAGCTTCACCAGTTCTGGCGCCTTTGCCGTCGCCCGTTTCAATGTCATCAACCGGAGGTGGTAACGGCCCCCTAACCAGGTTAGCCTGGAGGTCAGACCGCCCCGGATCCCGGATCTGGACGAATCGGCTGAGCTTGGCCTCGCAGCTTGGCATGCGACACTTGTTAACCGCGGTGGGTGGTGCGACGTTTCCAAAGCAGGCCTCGGGGCGCACAGTCAGGACTTCAGATGCATAACCGGGAGACGACCCCCGCTGTGACCTCAGCAGCCTCCATACAGAGCCCGGACCACACGTTCCGAGGCGGCCTCTGTGGCCCCAGCACGCCGAACACCCTTCTCGTGCGTCCCAATGTGGCCACTGAAGCCTTGGCAACTGGCAAGCTCCATGCAGCCTCGCGCGTTATGTACTGTTCCGAAGGAAATAATCGCTCGTCTTCTGGTCCAGGCGTCCCGCTAGGAGCGTAGCAGACTCCACAAAGGTCCCAGGATACGCGTCCACAGGCGGCCAATGCGACCACAGCATGCTCCTTACACGGTTTACCTCATGCGTTGAGTGCCGGTCGTATAGTGTACTACAGTCGTTAACGCTTCTGAGTTAACCACTGCGCGTCTGGGAAACCAGAGATACGGGGCTCGATTCCCCGCGGTGCCCGCCCCTCCTGCCAGAGTGAGAGGCAGGCGACGCCATATAGCCTCAGCAGCTGAGTGCGTCGTAAAAGCCTCAGTGACACACACACCGCATGCGTTCCAAGGTGACACAGGTCTAAAGGTCAAACGCATGATGCGCTCCTCGCGTCTCAAAAGGCTGTTGCCGCCCCAGCGGGTCCCACATACGTGGATCGTTTCCTGCGACATAAAGCAGCCGTAGGCCCACCTCTCCGCTATTTGTCTAAAGCAGTGTGAACAGAAGTCACTACGTCTCGTCCCTCTTCAGTCCCAACACGATACTCACGCCTCACTACGAGCTACCCACGTATCCTCACTCCTATCCTCATACCCATCCTCACTCCTTTCACAAGAGGACTGTGCTTAGACATTCACGAATTTCAAACGCATCGCAACATCACGGTAAACCTCAGGTGAGTGCGGGGTAGTTACAACAGTTTACCAACATCATGCCTCTAGCGGCGTGCGTGGTGTGTTGCTAGTTACGCCATGTAAATCGTGCCGGCGGCATCGCGCGATCTACAGTCGCGCGATGGTGGACTATCAGCACCGGCCGCACCCAGCCTGATGGCAGCGAGCCGCACCAGCTGCGGACGGCAGCGACATCGAATAACTCACACGTGTGAGTGAGAAGTTTTACCACCGCCGGCGCACCAGCCGCGACCGTCGGAGCTCAAAGTCCCGTCTCTGAGACGCCAAACATCGCCGGTAGCGCGGCAATCCTTCAGTTCCACGCAGTGAACCGCTGCCTGCGGGTCACGCTAAGCCCGTGTGACGCCAGACGCAGTGAACCGCTGCCGGCGGGCCACGCCAAGCCCGTGCGACGCCAGACGCAGTGAGCCACTGCCGGCGGGCCACGCCAGGCCCGTGCGACGCCAGACGCAGTGAACCGCTGCCGGCGGGCCACACTAAGCCCGTGTGACGCCAGACGCAGTGAACCACTGCCGGCGGGCCACGCTAGGCCCGTGCGACGCCAGACGCAGTGAACCACTGCCGGCGGGCCACGCTAGGCCCGTGCGACGCCAGACGCAGTGAATCACTGCCGGCGGGCCACGCTTGGCCCGTGCGACGCCAGTCCAAGCCAGCGGGAAGCCAGGCTGCGCCTCGCTGTCAGAGATCACGTGCGCCAGTCATGCCACAGATGCCGCGGCGTACCTCGCTTGTATGCAATTAAAAACGCTGACGGAAACGCTGCACCGCTTTGCGTTGCAGACGCTTTAGCGCTTAGATTAAGCTTTCAAGCATGAAACACTGCGCCGAATCGCGCTCTCGAGTTTTTGCGTCACGTTTGCGGTCTTTGGTCTTAGGCGAACTTTGGAGCCATGCTTGCATTCTTCCCTGGCTGCAGCGCTGTCTAGCGAGGACACGCATTACGTACAGTTCACGCACCCGCAAAGTGCGTGGTCGGTGGACCCAATTTTACTTCGCAGCGGTGACTGCAACGTCAGCACGGACCCTGCTCCCTCAATCGGACATCTGAGTGGGTCGCCAACCGAGCCTTTCGGGGACCTGTCAGTGCCACGGACTCGGCGATGCCTGCTCTCACTAAAGTGCGGCTTGGATGCAAAATGTGGGTACGGCTTGACCGCAAAGAGGAGCGTTGCCTAACGGAAATTGAATGCAGCCTCCTATGCTATCAGTAATTGAGTCATTTGCATGCATTTAGTGTACCACGCACGTATATTCCGAATATATACATATGTATGTACAGGCATATTCCGCATATATATATATATATATATATATATATATATATATATATATATATATATTCTCTCTCTCTCTCTCTCTCTCTCTCTCTCTCTCTCTCTCTCTCTCTCTCTCTCTCTCTCTCTCTCTCTCTCTCTCTCTCTCTCTCTTTTGGGCTTCGGCAGGTTGCCAGACAGTTCGCCGAACTGGTGTGAAATTTAAAGATTGAAGTCCGAGCCAAATTCGAACTTTGAATTACAAGAGCAGTGGAACATCACCATACATGCAAGTAAAGCAAACATCTATTCAAACTTTTCAGCCTCAGAGCCTGTGGAAGATGCATGGAACTAATTCATCTGGCTCCAGCAATAGAAAAGCAGCCTCGTTAAGATAACTTAGTGTTATCTCTCTGAGGGATGTTGGCTGTCTGGCGTGACTTCATCATCAGTGCTGATTTGCCGCTGCTCTCCATCAAATCATGCAAACCGGCTGTCGACAGTGAACATATTTATTATAACAATGACAGCTCGGTGATGCTTCCTATGCGGTGCGGTTACCACCATGCCAACAATGAAAACGTCTTGCGCGGGTGCATCGTTCACAGCAACAATAGTAACACCAACACAAACGAGTAACACGCAACCGGCGCATGATGATAACAGAACAGCGACTGAAGGAGACGCCAGCTCCAGCCGACGTAAATCCGACAGCGACACGGACGAGTGGGCTTGCCACGGCGGCGGCGCGACGCTGCGACCTCTCTTGGTTCGGACCTACCGGTCGCCACATCGAACGGGATACAATGACTGCGGCGCGCTGTCCAGCGGGCTGACCGGCGAGTCTGTCTGCCGGACATAACAACCAGCCCGCACCAGGAACGCGACACTGCCGGTGGTGATTACATCACACAAAGCGGCTAGACCCGCCGCGCTGTCCGGACCCCCCCGCAGAAGCCGAACTCCCCTGCAGCGGCCAGACCTCCCGTGGCGTCCGAGGACCGTTGCTTGGTCTCCCATGCCCCTGGCAGCCGCACCTCACCCCTGTTCACCGGGCGCCGAGCGCCTCCGGCTCCGGCCTCGTCATTCTGCCGGCCTCGGGCCCAAGCCACAGCCCGGCGCGGCTAGCCGGGCTCCTCGGTGCCGCCCTCCGTCCCGGGGGTTACTGTCAGTTTCGGTCTCTTTTTGCATGTGTCGCCCCCACAGCATACGCTGGGGGCCCTATCTCATATGTCCTCGAGCACCAATTCACTGACGTTCTCAGGCAGAAAGCACTCGTGGAAGTATTGGTCCAGGGTGCGGTACAGGTGTTCGGTGACTCCGCTCAGCTGATGGCCCTCGTCCGGGTACACCTGCGGGCACGGCACGGGTCGGCTCAGCCGCGCCGTCAGGGGGCCCGCACGAGGCGTCAGTCACTGTTAGCTGCCGTTCGAATCTGATCGCAAGAAGCAGATTCGATTATCAGAAAAAAGAAAGCGCATCACATTCCCGCAGAGGCGCGATGCTGGCAATGGGCATGTGTCCCGGTGACAAAGAATGCTTTGTTTACATTGGGCCCATTGGGACAGCAGTTGTGAACTTTCCGGGTGCAAACATCCAGTTTCGAGTCAAGGAGCGAGCCCAAAAACTAAAAAGAACGTGTTTCAGTTTCATACGCATCGAACTATTCACAAAATAATTTGATGTGCTGTCTCTGCTTTATACACATCCGTAACACCTCAAACAACGTGCGCAACAGGCTCCCCATCACAAAACTACCCCAACACTTCCTTAAGACCACATGTAAAAAGGTAATATTTCAACCAGCTTGGTTTTATTAACCGGACCACTCGGGAAAATCATCATCCATTCCTCAGCCTTCGTCGAACAACAAGCTTTCAGAACTGTCCTGGGCAGGCGACAAGCTTGAAGCGTTTTTTCCTGCTCAAGGCTGAAGAAGGTAGCAGGTTTATCCTGATAGCTCCCGCTTAACAAAACCACGCCCATCGCATATCTTTTCTACATTAACCATGCCCCAGCTTAAGAGCACATCCGTCTTCGCCCCCCGCTGCCGCCCCGAGCTCGAACTGCCGTCCCGGCCGCTGACCATCTGGCGGAAGACGGCGCCGGCGCGCTCCAGCTGGCGGGCCAGCAGGAAGGTGTGCTGCACGCTGACGCTGGTGTCGGCCGTGCCGTGCACCAGCAGCAGGCGCCGACCGGCCAGCGCTGGCGCCCGCCGGCCCAGCGCCGAGTCAGAGAAGCCTCGGTGGTTGTCGTCCGGCCGGCCCAGACGCCGCTCGCTCGGCGCCGACGCTGCCCGGACGGGTCAGGTCACGTCAGGCTACGCACCCAACCGGATCTTGTTCCGACACCAAAGCTTCCAAGGCCAGATAAGGTCAAGTTAGGTCAGATCACGAACCCTGTCGGCGCTGGCAAGGCACAGACGCTGCCAGGACGGGTCAGGTCAGGTCAAGTCAGGTTAAGAGCCCAACCGGAGCTTGTTCGATACCAAAGCTTTCGAGGCCAGATCAGGTCAAGTTAGGGCAGATCACGAAACCTGCCGGCGCTTGCCAAGCACCGACGCTGCCAGGACGGGTCAGATCAGGTCAGGTCAGGTCAGGTTCTGAGCCCAACGACGCCAAAGCTGTCAAGGCCAGATCAGGTCACGTCAGGTCAGATAACGAACCCTGTCAGCGCTTGCTGGGCGCCGACGCCCCCGGGAGAGTCGACTCAGGTCACATCAGGTTAAATCAGGTCATTGGGTTATGTCGGACATGTACAGCTCAGCACTGGCCGACTGGCACCTCCCAGAGACAGGTTTCGAGAAGTCCGGACATAACGCGCTATCAGAGATCGCTGAGTTGCAGATATTAATGGTCGAGCCGTATGCAGACACGGAGCCAAATCATGCCGGAACCCGTTGTAATCACGTCACAAGCTACCGTTGCGTTTAAATCCCAACTGCCCTATAAACGGGCAGCTGTCGGCCGGTTATGAGAGCAGCCAACCAGTCAGGAACACGCACCGACATGTTCAGCCTTAGTATACCACTGCACGGCCATTGCACACTAGTATACCATTGCACGGTCTCTTCAGGCAACCACTGGACAGGGATGAAGGGGCATTAGTGCTGCCAACAGCCCAACAAGGATCGATCCAAAACTCACCATAGATCTCCCAGGACGTGATGGGCGCTATTGCCACCGCACACCTCAGCAGCTTCTCCGTCTTCGCCAGCAGCGTGAGCACAAGGTACGCACCGTACCCGTGCCCGACAGCGATCACCCGGAGCGGCGTGACAAAGTCCAGCGTCGAGGTCAGCTGCGTCACCACCTTCCTCAGCGCGTCCACCTCCTCGGCGCCGACACCGTCGTCGGCCGGCAGCCGGTCGTCGTCGTGCGGCGCCGGCTGCGTCGGCAGCGTCACATCGGCGACGACGAAGCTCTGCTGGGCGGCGAGGTAAGCCGACCAGTCGACGGCCCAGCGGCGGTCGGCGGCCGGCGCCGCCAGCCGCACCAGCAGCGGGAAGGCGGCCGCGTCCCCGGCGCGGTACTGCGGCGGCACCTGCAGCCGCACCACTGCCGCACGCCCCGCCGGCAGCGCCACCCGCAGCAGGCGCACCTCCGGCAGCGAGAGGTTGGCGGCGGCGGCGCGCAACTGCGTGTTGTTGCGCAGGAGGAGGGCGGGCGCGTCACCGGCGGCTGGCAACGTCAGCTGCGGCACGACCGGGCCCAGACAGCGCAGGGCGTGCCGACCGGCGGGGCTGAACAGCGCCTCGTACTGCAGACAGGTGGCGTTGTCGGCCACGGCGCCGGCGACCGGCGGCGGCGGGCAGGTGAGGCAGCGAGCCGCGCGCGACAGCGGCGAGCTGTGGTCGCTCACGCGGAACAGGTGGCGCTGACCCGGCCCGTCTGGCACGCTGGACAGGTAGTGTCTGAGGAAGCCGCGGCGTTAGGAGGTCGGACGTGAAAGATGCGGTGCAGAAGCAGCGACGCTGTCAAGTGCATCATGCTGGCCGCTAATAAGTCAGCTTGGCCCACCACATTTGAGGAGGGGACGTGGTATTGGACCAAACGCTAGAATGTTCATAAGACGACTAAGCTGACGTCGTTGGTGCAGACATCCTCTCAATAGCATTTACGCTCGGAAAATATTCGGAAAAGAATCCGATGCATCGTATATGAAGACTTTTGGTGAGATTTTCCACCTCTAGCTCAGTTGCGATTTGATAGCAGATCAAGCGTAAAAGAGCGGGAGAGCCAGAGAGCGACAGCGCGATAGTGCAAGAAGGACAACGACAGAGACAGAGAAAGAAATAGAGACATAGACAGAGACAGAGACAGACACAGAGACAGAGACAGATATACAGACAGAGACAGAGACAGGTACAGAGACATACTCAGAGAAGAAACAGTGACAGATACAAAGATGGAGATAAAGACAGGGACAGAGACAGAGACAGAGACAGAGACAGAAAAAAGAACATAGACAGAGGCAGAGACAGACACAGACACAGAGACAATGCCAGATACAGAGACAGAGACAGAAACAGAAACAGAGTCAGAGACAGAGACAGAGAAAAGACAGAGACAGAGACAAAGACAGAGACAGAGACAAAGACAGAGGCGGAGGCAGAGACAGACACAGACCCAGAGGCAGAGACAGATAAGAAACAGTGACAGACACAAAGATAAAGACAGAGACAGAGACAACGACAGAGACAGAGACAGAGACAGAGACAGAGACAGAGACAGAGACAGAGACAGAGACAGAAACAGAAACAGAGACAGATACAAAGACATGGACAAAGACAGAGACAGACCTAAATACAGACGCAAACGCAGAGACAAAGACGGAGGCATAGGCAGAGACGAAAGCAGAGACAGAGACATGGACAGAGACGGAGACAGAGACAGAGACAGAGACAGAGGCAGATACAGAGACAGACACAGACACAGACACAGACACAGACACAGACACAGACACAGACACAGACACAGACACAGACACAGACACAGACACAGAGACAGAAACAGAAACAGAAACAGAAACAGAAACAGAAACAGAGACAGAGATAGAGACCTAGACAGAGACAGAGCCAGAGCCAGACTTAAACACAGGCGCAAACACAGAGACAAAGACGGAGACAAAGACAGAGACAGAGACAAAAGCAGAGAAAGAGACAGAGACAGAGACGGGGACAGAGAGAGAGGCAGCGGCAGAAACAGAGACAGAGACAGACACAGACAAAGACATGTGCAGAGACAGAGACAGAGGCAGAGACAGAGACAGAGATAAAGATAGAGACAGAGACAGAGACAGAGACAGAGACAGAGATAGAGACAGAGACAGACAGAGACAGAGACAGAGATAGGGATAGAGGCAGAGACAGAGATAGGGCGACATAACCTCTGGAGCATAGATTGTCATGAACGGGAGCAGTGACAGATGATTCATGGGTGGTTGACAGGTGAATGCCAGGTGATTCTGCACTCACATGAAGCCTTTGCTCCATGACAGCAATTTCACCACATCCGCCCGCTCCTGAGTTAGCTGTGTCACGCTTCTGCGGGCAATGTCCACCTGGAAAACGAGTTTGGTCTTCTATAGGATGGCGGATATACGAGCATCAGAACTCAGGGCGTCATGCCTGCCGTAACATAAGGTCAGACATCGGGAATAAAGACAAGGAGCATCGAGCCGATCAGCACGTGCTAACGCAAAATCTTAGTTGGATGTACTGCTTGAAACCATACCAAAACTGGTTGGCGCACGACACACAGAAAATAGATCGCCGCTGGCGCAATCTTAGAAGTTCAATTTCACCCTGATTATGAAAGCCTTACTCAAAAACACGACGACATCAAAGGGAAAGGTAATCAATCCAATGCACAAACAAGGAAATATTCAGGAAACATTGGGAATCTGCATGAGATTCCTGTTGGTTGTAACGCCTTACAAATGGGCGACAGTTGACACAAACTGCCCATGGTTTGAGTAGTCGCCCATTTCACCCACTCTCCTTCTCTTTATTGTGAAGCATAAGTCGCCAACTCAACACCCTTGTTGAAGTGTCTGGTTCGTTCAGAAGCGCTCGGCCGCCGCTGTCGCCCATAACCAAACCCGGAGTGCCCCGTCTTGCCACTCTAGAGGCAGAAATATGGGCTGGGCCGAGCACTTGTTGACGGAGATTTACGGGTTGGCCAACAGTGCGACCTTTGCCCTCTGACGGGCCGGGACGCGGGCACGGTCTGCGCGCCGGACAGACGGCAAGTGTGGGCAGGAGCACGGCACGGAGGGTCAGACCCAGGTCGGGAGCCACAGAGGGGCTAGGACAGAGGGTGGGAGGGATCTCGGGTCTCGGGTCTTGGGCGTTGTAAATAAACCGCATCAGCGGAGGTGACCATATCATATCACACAGAGCCGGCCCGTCACCACCGCCTCTCGCACCCGCAAGGAGCCAGCACCAGGCTGGACGATACTGTCAGACGGCCGGTCACCGGCCGCAGCCGAGCAGATCACCTCTGGTGCAACAGCTCGGTTTGAAGGAGCCGGCACCAGGCTGGACGATACTGTCAGACGGGCGGTCATCGGCCGCAGCTGAGTGGATCACCTTTGGTGCTACAGCTCGGTTTGAAGGAGCCGGCACGAGGCTGGCTGGCCCAGTTGTGTAATCACTGCTTGATTGCCGTTGTGTAACATTGCTTATTTGCCGCTGTGTAACATGCTTTGACGATCTAGATTTTGAATAAGCAATTTTGTACTTGAGCTTGTGTGAACGACGGGATGGTTAATAATGCGCGAATGCGGTTGCATTGTTGTCATGTTTTGATACTGCACTTACACTACTGCTGTAGTGACATCAAATCAAACGAGAGGCCACTTGTTGGAATAACTCGTGAGTAAAATGAACATGAACATGACTTAAACCAGTATCATTAAAGCCCGGCTTTTTAAACCACCACCAAATGTTGAGGAAGCTTCTCTTACAACGGCCAAATTTCCACAAGCTTACGGCACGAACTCGCGACAGCCAGGCTAACATCTCTTGGCATTTGCTCAGCAGTTATGCCTGACGGTCCAAGGCATTCCTCAATGTCAGACAAATCGTGTAAGCCTGCCTTGCAGATAAACACTACTTGTTGTCAAATGAATCGTGGTGTGTTAACCACTGCGTTCGGTTTAAGTGCGGGACCAGAATCATGGCTCGCTGAAGAATGTACGGAATTTACGGTCTTTGTAACTTTGGTTGTCGGATCGCTGATTAGCCTGTTGCCAGACACATCACGCGAGGCAACACACGACATCTGGCGAGGGTCCCGGCAACAGAGCTAGCACAACGCCTGTCGTGCGGCCTCACCATCATGATCTGTGTGAAGAGGCCGTCCGGCCCGTCCGGCACCCGGTCCAGCAGCAGGGCGGACTTCTTGTCGGCGGAGAATACGGGCCCGTCTGTGACCTCCACCCAGCCGTGGGCCGACTCCGACCGGTACACCTGAGGGCAGGTACCATCAATCGCCGTCAGCTGGGACCGGTACACATGGGGGGGGGGGGGGGTCTCACCAGCCGCCGTCAGCTGGGACCGGTACCTCTGAGGGGCGGTCCCACCAGCCGCTGTCAGCTGGGACCGGTGCACCTGAGGGGAGGTCCCACCAGCCGCCGTCAGCTGGTACCGGTGCACCTGAGGGGAGGTCCCACCAGCAGCCGTCAGCTGGTACCGGTACCTCTGAGGGGCACTCCCACCAGCCGCCGTCAGCTGGTACCGGTGCACCTGAAGGGAGGTCCCACCAGCAACCGTCAGCTGGGACCGGTAGATCTGAGGGGAGGTCCCACCAGCCGCCGTCAACTGGGAGCGGTCCACCTGAGGGAGGTCCCACCAGCCGCCGTCAGCTGGGACCGGTCCACCTGAGGGGAGGTCCCACCACCGTCGGCCGGGAGTGGCACACCTGCACAGCCGGCACGGAGCCGCCAAATACCCAGCAGTCCGCCTCCTTTCACACTGGATCAGCAGAATCACGGCGACAAGACCGGCTATACTCTCCAGGCGCGTAACTTAATAACGCGGACAGCTAATTGCCGTGATGAGTCGGCTGCGACACCAGTCCCACCACAGTCCGTGTTCGGATAGCGCAAACATGTCAGTGAAAAAGGTCAGTCGCAGTCAATTCAGCCGACAGTGCTGGGAGCTCTCTCTGGGATCACATCACAGCCAAAAGGTCAGCGCCGGCGGGCTTAGACTGGCGCTCAGGCAGCCCCGCTCCCGGCGTTCAGCCGTCGCCGGGGCGCCGACGCCTGTCGCTTGGCTGGCGCCGGCGGCGGTCACCAGCCGCAGCCGCGCGGATCACCACTGGAGCACCAGCTCAGTTTGTCTGGTCAAATTGGAGAGCGCTCCGGGCACCCCAGTGTCGCCGGTCACGGGGGCTGATCCTGTCGAATGTCTCTCACGGTTAACTTAAGCTGCAGGCGGCAACAAACGGTGACCGCCTGACTTAGCTGTCATATTCAGAATGAGTTTTGAAAATAAAGGTCTCCAGTACGCAGGATATGAAACTCCAAAGCAGTGGTAAATAGTTCAGAGGCTACTGTTGCGTGTTGATTTTAAGGAAATATATGCTTATAATGGCCTAAGTATGTGCGATATTTAATTAATGCCGCACATCCATTTATCCCCATATGCGATTCTGGTTTTAGAATAACAGCGCATGACATGCATTATAAAGCAGTTAGAGCAGGGAGTCTTTTCCCATGCCAGACAGAAAAATGGGACAACGCTAAAATATTATTGAACATCAAAATGCCATTTTCCAAAACGTCCACATTTACTAAGGCCTTGAAGCTGTCCGTATTTCTAGACCAGATCTAAACGAGCACCGTCGTAAAGGGAGCGCTCCGGACGAACTGACCTCGAACGCCTTCTGAGAAGGCCCCGGGGAGCCGCGACAGTCATTTGGGTCCGCAGTGAATGGCCCGCGCCGACTGTGGAGCTCTCGGGTAAGCCTGATAACCACACTGCCGTCGCTGGCCCGGCGCCGCGCTCCAGTCAGCGGACCGAAACAGAGCGCCCGCGGCATGTCGCTCGTCGGACAAGATGGCGTCAGCGGTCCGACGACGAGCTTTAATGCAATACGGCGCCAGCCGCTGCCGGACGCAAAGCAGGACACTCTCATCTTGCACGACAGCGATGTACCGGAGACCATTATGGAAATACCGGCTCATTCCTGGAGCGCGAGCCGAAGAGCCGCAATGGCGGGGTAATGGCGCCCAGCACGCCATTACCAGTTCAGGCGGGAGCGTATCTTCTCGACTAATCACGCGCCAACGCCGCGCTTCGGCCTCAGAGAACACGTGCCGCGGCCCCTGCGCCGGCCGGGGCGGACGCGGCACGCGGCCTTGGGGCGGCGGCGGCGGCGGCGGCGGCCGCGGCGGCGGTGACGTGCCGCACCTGGGCTGTCCTCGCTCACCGTCTGACACCGCCAGGAGGGCGCCGTGCACACGGAGACGGAGCTGAAGTTCTGCCGGCGGCCGTACCACGTGACCGACACCTGACTGTCGTCCAGCCAGCGCACGCCAGCCGCGTACAGCTCCCTGCAGGGGGAGGGGAGGGGAGGTCAGCGGCGCGACCGCGGCACCCTGGTCTGTGGGGTCCGCGTCGGGACGGCGGCTTTTGTGAGCATCTGGATACCTTAGGGATCTCCCTAGACGTAACCGCATCAAGGCAGATTGGGCCCAAGCAAAACAAGATCCCGACCCCAGTAATCCAATACGCGTGGCTGCGCCCCGGGGTCGGGCGGGCAGCGCAATCCGAGCCTTCGTGGAGCCAGGGTGGCCGCAGGGAGCCGTTGAGTACTTGGGCCGCCCTGCTGATGCGGCGGGATTGTCTGAGCCCCGGCCAGATTACGACGGCGCTTGTTGGCGGCGGGCGACGCCGACGGATCACCGGCTCAGGAGGCGGGGAGAGCCCTGACCACAGACCACTGACAGGAACGGCGATCGCTCATAAGCAGATGACAGGAAGCCCTAACGTGAGGCATGTGGTGAGGTATGTACAAGTGTATGGTATGCATATAAACCAATGCGTGGCGACATCACAGCTGGCCGGGTGATTCGCAAACGTCCCGAGCAAGCGCGGTTGACGTGCCACAGTCTAGACTAGAGAAACGGATTCAGCACCGTCCATGATCGGCTAAAATACAGCGAACTCTGAGAAATTCAATTTAGTTCCACAGCGCGGAGAACAAATTTGCGCCGGACTAGAAAACACGAGAAGGCACCATCCATCAGCGGTGAGCAACTGGTCGCGGTGACCCTCGTCTGCTCTAGGAAAAACAAGGATTGATGGGGATCGATCGGGCTCCCTGGACGCGCAGGCCATCAATCAGCCAAGCGATATCCTGCAGTGACCGTCAAATAGCAGAAGAGAGAGAGCGAGAGAGATAGAGAGAGGAGAGAGAGAGATAGAAGAGAGAGATAGAGAGAAAGAGAGAGAGAGAGAGAGAGAGAGAGAGAGAGAGAAGAGATAGAGAGAGAGAGAGAAGAGAGAGAGAGAGAGAGAGAGAGAAGAGAGAGAGAGAGATAGAAGAGAGAGAGCGCATCATGCAGAAATGCATTCGGGTCGCGTTTATGCCGAGCCAATCGATGGCTTCAGCTTTGGGTGTTCAGTGATTAGGGAAAAGAGAAGGCGGTTCGTGCATTTCGCCATTATGCAGCGCGATCATTCTGCCGTTTTTATTTAACAGTAAAGAGGTATATAGTAGGGAGCTGTTGTAAGGAGGTTTCATAGCAAGAAGGTACAATTTGAAAGCCAAATACAAATATAAAAATGCATAAATTTGTAGTTCAGTATTCTAGTTGCATCATAATGACTACATCAGTTTCTATCCTGAATACATTTTTCAGAACTCGCAACAGCCTGGTCCGGAAAGTCGAAGCCTGTTGGTGGTAGGGGGTGGGGTGAAGGGGGGAGGGGGACCCCAACGCCCGCTCCGGTGCGCAGTTTTGTCGAGAGAGGTACCTCCTGGAAGCGCCGGGTAGTGGGGCGGGCCTCTGCACCACTCACCGGTCGGCCAGCGGCGTCGGCGGCTGCACGGCGTGATAGACCAGCTCCTGCGGCTCCGACACGTTCACGACCGTCACGGTCAGGCTGGGGTTAGTGGCGCCCGCCTGTCAGGGAGGGTCGCAGGTCAGGCGGACCACTGTGTGACAGACCAGCTCCTGCGGCTCCGACACGTCCACGACCGGCACGGTCAGGCTTTGGTTAGTGGCGCCCGCCTGTCAGGGGGGGGGGGGGGGGGGGACGCTGGTCAGGCGGACAGGTCGTCGTTTTTCTGTACGGTCGGGACGGCTGAACACATTGTAAGCATATACGCTGCGTAACTCATTATGTCTGTACTGGAGTTTCCAGTTTATGGCAAACCGGGAACTCATTAGTCTTTTTGGTACATGCTTGTAAAGGGTGGACACTGCGCTCAATGCATAGGATGCTTATCAAGGGTATCACAAGCAATCAAATGCACGATAAGCAGAGCAAGGCATTTAGGTTGACTCAGGCTAGTTTATTCGGAAATAAACACCGGACTTTTGAAGGTCTGAGGGTTCCGCACATCAATATTTAGCGTTTAAAGTAAATGTTTAGGCTCGCGTGGCCAAAGACATCACATCACCGCCGCTTTGCGCGTGCGAATGTGTTCAGACCAGGGCACTTCCATTGTTACTTCTGTGAGGTGCAACAAACTGAAATTGCATTTGTTTGTCAAACACAGCCACTTGCAATGTGATTCGGCGTGCTTAGGTGATTTCCGCGATAACGAGGTCTGTCTTCGAAAGGAGTTCGTTGCATAGCTTGCTTACAGGGAAGCTGGGAGACACAAGCAGGATATTACCCAGATAGTGTCGGTGCACTGCCTGATTAATTCCGTAATTATGACACCACTGAGTATACTACTTGATCACGGATAGTGCACCATAATATACGTGGTCACGGCTAGCTAACACCAATGCCATTACCCAAACATTCACCACTGGTCACAGAAAACGACTGCATCTGTCCAGCAATGCTCACTTACTGATAACGTCAACAAACGCCACACGAGCACCCTCCTGTCACCTGTACACTCACCCTGGGGTACTTGACCGAGTGCACGCGCGGGTACGACGGGTCGGCACCGGTGCCGTACTCGGTGTACTGCAGGTCCATCACCGCGGTACAGTTGATCGTGAAGTACAGCAGGAGCGAACCGCTGGGAGACGGCCACACAGTGTGGTCCGAGCGCAGGATGTAGTCTGAAAATGAACCAGTGACGTCAGAGACGATCAGCAGCCACAGAGTGTGGTCCGAGCGCAGGATGTAGTCTGAAAACGGACCAATGACGTCAGAGACCTTAACTGGCCACACAGTGTGGTCCGAGCGCAGGATGCAGTCTGAAAACGAACCAGTGACGTCAGAGACCCTCACCGGCCACGCAGTGTGGTCCGAGCGCAGGATGTAGTCTGAAAATGAACCAGTGACGTCAGAGACGATCAGCAGCCACACAGTGTGGTCCGAGCGCAGGATGTAGTCTGAAAACGGACCAATGACGTCAGAAACCTTCACCGGCCACACAGTGTGGTCCAAACGCAGGATGTAGTCTGAAAACGGACCAGCGACGTCAGAGACGTTCAGCAGCCACACAGTGTGGTCCGAACGCAGGATGTAGTCTGAAAATGAACCAGTGACGTCAGAGACGTTCAGCAGCCACACAGTGTGGTCCGAACGCAGGATGTAGTCTGAAAATGAACCAGGGACGTCAGAGACCTTCACCGGCCACACAGTGTGGTCCGAGCGCAGGAGATGTAGTCTGAAAACGGACCAGTGACGTCAAAGACGTTCAGGCAGAGACGGCAGATCGGATTTAAAAGTAAAGTATTGGAACGGTCCCATTCCGTTGACGTCAGAACATCTGCAGACCGTACCCAACTTCTTCCAAATATTGCACACATCTCGACTTGTTTCATGTTCTGTCACTTCTGAAGACAAAGTGCCTTCTGCTGTTGTTTCGATAGAGGCATGGGACCTAAATATCAACCCATCTATATTTCCATTCTCCTGGCTTTTCTTTGAGGAATAAGGCTGTTACAACCGTTTCATCTATGTGAATAATGCTCCTCGCAAATGCACCTAGCACCTTACGTAATTCCGTCACCTCTGTTCGAATGCGATGAAAAGCGTCATGTCAACGTGCAAGCCTCAAGAAAAGACAATAGCCTTCCAACATACCACAAGCCTTAACAAACGCCGCGATGGCCCGTACTTCGCGGCGTTTGCTATTGCCGAACACGGACTATCGGACCGGCCCAAAACCACAGCGCTCGCCGCCACACGAAAGTAGGTGCTCGCACCGACATTGCGTCACAGCCTCTTCTGCCGAGTTCTGCTGTTGAGCATCCAACGCGCGTCCAGTATGCCCCAGGAGGTGGCGTCAGGTATCAGAAGCGGCGTAGTTTTTCTTTCCACGCATAGAAGGTTGCAGCTATGCTCCGGAGTCACTGGATAAGTTTCTTTTTGCTGGAAGCCCTCCCTTGAGGCGGAAGTTTTTTTACGACGCTTTGGCAATCACGACGACCAAAGGAAGGTCGAACGCCACGCGGTATTGCGTAGAATATGGCAGGGTCGTCCAACAAAGCGCACAACAAAGTGTAAAAACGGTAGCCCGCCGTTCGTGGTTTATTTGGAGTTGAAAAACTTTTTAAATAAGACCTGCTCGTTCTAGGAAAACAGCATAACACGTCTTACGTAGGCTTAAAACCCGTTCAAAATGACGAAGGCACTGATCAGAGCGGGGATTTACCTATATTGACCGATGTTGACCGATATTGACCCATATTACAAACACATTATCATCGCACGCCGAACGTCTGACACACAGGAGGCCATGTGCAACCTCTTAGCCACGGAAGACGTTCCTCAGAAATCTGTCCGACACACGAGCGGTCGTACCTGCGTACAGGAGGTCGGGTACGCCGTGGTATACGAGGCTTGGTACCCCGTCGCTGGTTACGGAGTACGAGTCCGCGCTGATCGCCCGCTCCTTGTAGTACACGTTGCCACGGTGCACCATGAGCAGGGCGTTGCCCGCGCGTGCCGGGTCACCGCTCCGAGGCACCCAAGCCACGTGCTGGAGCGGCGGGTGCGACCGGTCGACTCCCCACGACTCCGGCTTCAGCGGTGTGGTGTGTCTGCGCCGGGCACAAGGCCAGAGCCGATGAGGGGACGCTCGAACTGGACCGATCGGCACAAAAACGGCGGAGGGTGGGAGCAAGCTGATGGTTGATGGGGACAGAGGTCCTCAATATCCACGCGATGGATCAACGGCAAAAAGGAAGAAAAACATGTCATCGCATACAGCTACCAAGACTAAAAACAGCCATATGGTTTTTTTGGTTCGAGCACGGGAGGGCAAGGTAATTTAGGCAGCAGAATTTTCCTAGAAACAACAGGTATTCGAGTTTTGCAGAGTGCCTAACCCGTTGAAATTTTCCTGAACTGTTACAAAAGTATGCAAGGCATTCCAAGTTGAATCTTCCTTTTCCGTAAAAATCAGCAATGCAATAAATTTAGGTTACTATTAGGTGGGACTTTGAAACACGGCCCAAGAAACGTAGCTATGACTTGGCAATCTCTCAGTTCATTTTATTGACTTCTTCATCATAACGTCGCACTTCATACGGATGCAGTTTAAGCCAGACACTCATGTTACGAGCCGTCACGCCATCACATAGCGACCTCATGTCAGGAAATGGTGGGCAAACTACAGATGGAACTGCAGAACACCCTTAACCTCATCACCTCCGGACATCATCCGCCCGAAGGCTCTAGTGGTACCGAGTTACCGGCCGCCGCGCGACACGAGCTCGCTCCGAAAGGCGCCCTGTCTGAGAGCCCCCGCGGCCGAGTGGCGCGACTGCGAGTGAGACGGAGCGGCGGCACGCACGGCACGCCCCATTGTCCCGCCCCAGGAGGCCTCGACTGCCCCGACGCAGAGCCGCCAACAATGGCTGACTTACGGCGGCACAAAAGACGCCTTTCACGTTTGGCCCAAATGCGCCGGGGTCGTGAGGCGGGTGACCAAGCCACGCCATGGCCCGAAACGACCGCAGCGCGCACTGCATCACACTCTCTCTCGGTCGCGCCTGGCGTGTAAGCGGTACTTAGGCCGTGAGAGTGTGGGCATAGCGTCACGACACAAATTTAAATTGTGGCAGAATTTTGGTCTCCCGTGTGCAGGGCTTGCGGCAAAATTGTTTTGTATTGAAGGGTGTTGTGTCTCATTTGGTTTACAACACCCGCGACATGTTTCCACGAGTTGCGGGCTTATGAGCTCTGCTTAAAGGTGGTCTGCCCATGTAATTACGCTTTCACTAAGCGTGTGTGGGAGCTGAGTTAGGCACCCTACCGCACAAGTACTAGCCTGGAATGCTTCGCTGCACAGAGCCATCAGCTCGCGTTCCACGTGACTGATACTAGGGGAACATCATCCCATGGGATTCTAGCGCGGCCAAACTGATTATTAAGTGTTGCCAAATATAACGAGCGAGGAAAGCTCACGCTTGCATGACCAAAGATAATGGCTAGCTCAAAATACAAGGCAGGCCCAGTCCACACTGAATGTTATGAGCGGCAGCCCGTCGCATGGGACGGCTAGAAGGATGCACATAATGAGGGTGTTCGGCACTCGCTACTCACCCTGTGTCCACATGCCACAGCCAGCATTGAGCCTCGCTGGTGTACTCGGAGAGCTGTGAAGTGATGAATAATGGTCTGTTAGCGCAGTATAACTGAAGGAAAACACGATGTCATCATAGCACGCCAAGCGGTTCAATGTGAGCTAGTAGCCCATTACCGCTGGTCGGTAGAACGCTTTTGAACACTGGCCAGCTCTGAATAAGTCACTGTGAAGCATGAACTTTGAACTATGACGAGGAAGATGCCGGTAACTTGTGCAGAAAGAGGGCATGGTGCAATGCTAATGCAAAGGCAGGATAAAGAATATCACAATTTCGTAAAGCATTTGTATTCAAAGCATTTACCTTCACCGTCACGTAAGTGCAACGGAAATATTCCGTGATAGGCGCATCACAACCAAGATTGAGTTTCACTGTAATGGTGTCAAGAAGGGTCGTTACCTTTGTTTGTCGTCCTATAAGCAGGACGTATTTCAAGTCGGGAGACACGAGAAACCGCTCAGCGTTGTTTTGCCGCTGAAACGATAACAAGTGCAGAGGCGTTGGTAAGCAAACTGCAAAGCCACAACCGATAAACCCCACGCGTATAAGGATGAATGCAAGTAAGTTGAAGATCAGTACATGCCTTTCCTACTGGTTATACAACGGTTAACCTTTGACAGTTAACGGTGCATGACTGGAGGTAGAGTGGTGAGACAACGGGACAAAGCAGACGAAAACTGATCCGAATTTATTACTGGACATACAAGACATGTCATTGCAACAGCCTAACACCTCTCTTGGCATGTACCAATAGAACACCTCTTGCGGCGAGCAAGGTGGCAACAGACGGGAGCATTATCATGTGCATTAAGTCAAAACCTCTGCGACTGAAATAGTTCGCCTCATGCCGGGCAAAGGCGGGGCGATATTTTACGTTTACCCATAAGTTTAAAGATACATGAGCTTTGGACATTGACTGGTTGGCAGGTCATGGCATGGCACACAGTTTTGAGGCTGCAAAATCGAGCACTTGGAATGCCTTTTGTTTGCGAAGACTGCCACCAAAGGTTTGCGGAAAACGTAAATATTTTGGGTGGGTATGAGTAACAAGAGATCCGGCCCTCTTCCCACAAAAAGTGTGACACGGCCGCCTCGCAGCCGCTTACTGAACAAATCTGCCAGTCAGACCGTGTTGACATCGCTTAATGATCCGTAAACGGGCCATCCGTCTACACCGAGCAGCCGGCCTCCCTTCCGTATCTGCTCTTGCTGCAGAAATGACGCCAATTCTTGCATGCACAAACGTTGCAACGGCCTGTCGCCAAGATCCAATTACGTTTTCGACCCGCGTTTTTTAGATGCATTTTTCACAATTGGATAATTTTACCCATACCTCACATTACAATTTACCTCGCGATGCTACGATCATCGGCTTCAAAGGTATGACATTCTAAAGGGGCGAGAGCCGGACGGGACCACTGGCATTAAGACGTGAACCGCAGTTCAATCTTTACCAACCAATTTTCGTCAATTTCAGAATCTGCTCCCAATTTCATGAAATGAGCATCGCTCGACATCCGGTCTCGCTCCCGATAATTTCTTGACGAAGTTACAGATAGTTCGATTTCGTTTGGCCTAAGTCGTTGACTGTATCAGCATGAGCCCCCGGGGCCTCTTCGGCCCATATCTTATTCAGCATCTTTTGACACCACTCCGCCCCTGATCTAAGACCAGCCTAGCGCATACGACATTCAGACGGTCCGTCGGCTGAGCCAATCCCGTGTCGTCAATCGGTCCGGCGGGCATGGGCCACGCCCGAGTCGACGGCAACGTCCACGGGCCGACCCTGCTCCACATCAGCATCCACGGGTTGAAGCCGGTCCACATCAGCATCCACGGGCTGAAGCCGGTCCACATCAGCATCCACGGGTTGAAGCCGGTCTACACCAGCATCCACGGGCTGAAGCTGGTTCTTATCAGCATCCACGGGCTGAAGCCGGTCCATATCAGCATCCACGGGTTGAAGCCGGTCCACACCAGTATCCACGGGCCGACCCCGCTCTACATCAGCATCCTCGGGCTGAAGCCGTTCCACATCAGCATCCACGGGCTGAAGCCGGTCCACATCAGCATCCACGGGCTGAAGCCGGTCCACACCAGCGTCCACGGGCTGAAGCCGGTCCACACCAGCGTCCACGGGCTGAAGCCGGTCCACATCAGCATCCACGGGCTGAAGCCGGTCCACATCAGCATCCACGGGCTGAAGCCGGTCCACATCAGCGTCCACCAGCCATCTGGCGCCGCCGCCGCCCCGCGATCAATCCCAGCCGTCGCGCCCGCGGCCGCGCCGACCCCGACAAATGTCCGGACATCGCGGCGAGAAATAGCGCACCCGAGAGTGGCGCAGCGTTTCGGCGCGCCGTCGCCGGGCCCTCGAACGCGTGCCGGCCACGCCGTGGGAGACATCCATTGTGGCCGGGCGGTCTCGGCGCAGACCGCTGCCGCGGGAAAGATCGGTCTCCCAGCCAGAGGCATCGGTCTCTCAGCAAGAGGCATCGATCTCTCGGTCGGACACAACAGCTACTTGCATTGAGCGGCCGTTTCTGGACTGGGGAGCGCCGGCGGGCCGGACCGGCACGCGCCATGGCTGGATCCGCATGCACCATGGCTGGATTCGCACGCGCTGTGGCTGGATCCACACGCGCCGTGGCTGCTGCCACGTGCCAGCGAACACCCGGCAGACGACATCCCAACTGGAGCTCGTCAGGGCCGTTTCTCAATTCTGGCGACCCGGCTGCCAGAGCAGACAGAGTGTGGAGAGTTTAGAAACTCCGCTGCCGGCGGTTCCGGTGGCAAGACAAACACGCTTTCGGGTCGAAACACGCCGCGCAGCAGACCGAGCACAGCAGGGAATTCACCGTCCGCCTCTGCTGGAGGGCCGCCGTCAATATCCGAGTCGGCACTGCGGGACGGGCGACTGGCGTGGGCTGCTGCGTTACAGACTTACTGCGTTGCGATATGCTTACGCTCCCACGGTCTCAGCACCGCAGCGTTCGTTGGGAAGAGCAGCCAACACAGCGACGGTGGTCACGGCGAACCGCGCCGGCGAACATCAGCCGGGATCGAATCGGAATCGGTACGTTCGGAGACCGTTGTCCACAGCCGGACGATGATTGCGCTGGATTTCTCGAAGTGAATGAAGCGTGGTTGCGTCGGCTCAGAATGACGGCGCAGGGCTGTGGTCGTTGGGAACCGTGAAATGGCACTATTTCGTGTAAGTTGATCGTTTGCGAATACTAGTGAGCTGGATCTGGGAATCGGCATCGGAGAGATCGTGTGCTCCATAGTCCGGTGAATTCCAAGGGGTGGCTATTGGGGCAATAGTATGATGGCGCGTCACATCAGCATTACACACAGTGCTGGTGTCATTAGCGTGCTTTCGGCTTCGTGATGTGCTAAATACGTGCATAAACTCCTGGCTCACCGACTTTGTTGGAAATAGCCCGTGGAGGGAAAACATAGATTTAAAAACCATGTCCCGACTTTGTTGAAAGGAGCGAGTGGAGGTGGTATATAAGGTTTACGAGCTATATGCAATACAATATCATTGACATATGATGAGGTATTGCGCACTAAGGTATTATATATATCCAGTAGCACATCTTTCCGATGCAAGACGGGCGAGCTGTTTATTGATGGTTCAGATAGATTTAGAATTGCCAGAAGATTGTAAACCGGTTTTGGATTTGGCAAGGTTTGGCATCGTAATAGACCAAATCAGAGAAGCTTGGAAAGTCTACAGTTGTAGTGCCTGAGACCAAATAAATGGAAAGCAACGAGTACGTATTGGTAGAACGGAAATCAAAGTGAACAGCACTAAAATACTATATACCTGCCATAGCCTGAGTTTTTTTGTTGGTTCAGACCAAGCGTGTGACATCTTTAAAAAAAAAATCGTTGATTTTGTCTTTCTCACGGCAGCCCGTTGTAGGGGTAAAACCTAGGCAGCAATGCAACGCTGTACGTTGTGATAATAATGCACCTCATGAGAGAAAGGGTTTGAACTCGTAAGTCAAACTCTAAACTCATTAGGCCTGCTCAAGCAACTTGCATGCAAACATCATGAAAGCACTGTACCGCAACCTCCAATAAATTATGCTACTCGTTTCTGAAAGATTCATAAAGGTGGGTGGTGACAAAGATGTGTCTAAGTCAGCACGACGAGCGACCGACCGGGCCGGCTCACTGAAACCCCGAAGGTTCTGGCACTTGGCATCCTGACAGGCCCGGCTTTCAGGCTTCCTCGGAATCAGGAGCGTGAGATATAGGGCAATATGTCCCATGCCAACCGATGCTAATGCTCCAGCATATGCCCACTGAAAGAGATATGCCTGGCTGGTGCGTGGTAGCATAAACAAATAGCGATGCAACAATTAAGCTCTGACAGTAAAAGTAAATGCACTGCTCGGAAGAATGAATGAATCTATGTGGGAATAAAAAACGATTAAAGCGGGCTTGAATTAAAACACCGTACTAATATATATATATATATAAATATATATATATATATATATATATATATATATATATATATATATATATACATATGCATAGTTTAACGATAGCTTCCTTAATCAAGAAAATGCGGAATAAATAAGACGAGCAGATAGTCTATTAACATCGGAATGCCAACCGCTACTTTCAGAAGCCCATTGCTGGTGGCCGTGAGAGCTCACGATCATATCCATACTGTTTTGCAAATAACTGCTGTCGCAAATGTTTCTAAACAGGTGTACCATATAGCACTCATCCTAACACCAATTTCAACGCTTTTTTATGAATTTTAGGTTCTGGCGGCGCGCACATTTTGAAGAAGCTCTCATAAAACCTCGCTATTTTCTGCCGGCACAATGTCTTTGAAGTCCGAACCAATCGTGAAATCATGATCCAACAGCGTCGTTTTGAAGTTCAAACGCCCTCTTGTCTCTGCTTCCATGCACTCTAGCACAGCTCGTCCCCGCCACGGCTGACCCGGGTACCGCCGGTGACACCCTTCTTGGAAGCGGCAGCGCCTGCGGAGCACCCGACAGCGGTCAACGCCAGAGACACCCTTCTCGGGAGCAGCTGCGCCTCCGTGGCGTCCGGTCGCGGCCGATGTCGGAGACACTCTTCTCGGAAGCAGCTGCGCCTCCGGAGCGCCCGGTCGCGGCTGACGCCGGAGACACCCTCTCGGGAGCGGCTGCGCCTCCGGAGCGCCCGGTCGCGGCTGACGCCGGAGACACCCTCTCGGGAGCGGCTGCGCCTCCGGGGCGCCCGGTCGCGGCTGACGCCGGAGACACCCTCTCGGGAGCGGCTGCGCCTCCGGGGCGCCCGGTCGCTGCCGACGCCGGCACTCAGCGCTAACAAGGCTACGGCGGCGGCATTCCGTCGACTCCGCCGGCTCCCGCCGGCTCCCGTCAGCTCCTGTCGGCTCCCATTGCCGCCAACGGCTCCGACGGTCGGCGATCGATTAGAGTCAACTGTTGCTGCTCGCCGGTCGTCGGCGCCGATGTTTCCGGAGAGGAAGGCCGGCGACGGAGTGCTGTTGTCGCAGGCCACGCCGCGCGCGTACCGTGCTCCCGCCGGAGCCGGCGCCGCTGTCGTGTGTCCGCGCTGGGCCGAGACGTTCTGGTGAGCAGGGTGGCTCGGCTCGTGGATCGCGGTGTTAACTCCAGCAATGGAAAACCGACGTTTTTGCTTGGTGCCATGAGTGTCGCCATGCAAATCTTTCTGATGTTTGGGAAGGCATGCGAGTTCAAAGATTTAGTCCTCAGCCACCCTTATGACGCATATTTCTGCGACACTCACGTCATTGACTTCGTGAAAGGTCTCTTGCATTTAAGATATAATGCAGCCTGAACTGCTGCATAAAGGATCTCTGTCGTTGAGGCATTGATCTGGACCCAATTTCGAGAAAAAATTATCCGGGTTCCAAGATACGCTTGGATGCGTGCCCGCTGAAACTTCAGCGTCGTCTGCAGTAAAAAGGAATATGTGTTGGCTGCCGTTCTATTTTTCATTCCGAGCGACGCTGGACAGAATTCATAATCGATTCAAAATTGCTGAACGGATGCTCTGAATAGCGGACGGCTGATGTCACCGAGATGGAGGACGCTGGAGCTTTATTCCAGCGCGTCCATCAAGGCGGCCAGTGGGCGGCCGGGCGCCAGCCAGCGAGAGCAGCGGAATGTCGGCCGATGCCGCTCGACTGAGTTCAGATCTCGTAAAATTGCCCACTCTGACATTCCAAGGATGGCCTGCCAGATATCGCTACAGGCGCCAGCCAGTCGGCGAGACGCTGGAATGCGTGCCTGATTCTAGTCAGACGTGTCTGTCTCAATGCATGACAACTAGCACTGAAGCTTATGAACAGTAACAAAAGACCACTGAATGGTAAACAAGCGTCTGACTCGTCACTCAACACAGGCCAGACCGAGACAGCGGTGCCGATTTGTGGTCGCTTTGTCCGTTCACTGGCCTTGGCCAAAACTCATCAAAACGTTGGTTGGACAAGGACGGCAATCTTGATCGCATCTTGTGGCCGTGGCGAAACACAAAATAACATACAGGGGTTGGACGAGGCTGACAGTCTTGATCATATTTTTAGCCGTGGTGAAATACAAAACTATCCGGATGTACAAAAATAGACCGATTGAAAATCAAACAAACCACTGTTCTGGATAATACTCAGACAAGCCGCCATCTAACCGATAATCGGCCGGCACTTGGTACGCGGTCTTTCAAACTAGATGTCGTCTGACGTCACAGACGCCACTAGACGTCATCTGACGTCACCCGACGTCACCTGACGTCACCAGACGTCACTCACCAGCGTGCGGTTGCTGACCAGCGCCCTGACGGTGCGCGTCCTGGCGCTGTACACGGACACCCCGCCACTGTCGTCCCGGTACGACAGGTCATCGTCTGTGGCACATGACAACCGTAGGTAGGCGAGCGCACTGTGTACACGTAAGGTAGGTAGTTGTACATAAATACGTGCAAATGCGAGGCACGTACAGCGATGAGTGACCCGACAAGACTTTACAACCCTCCACCAGCACGTGTGAAACAGTACCTACGTGTCGAGAAGGCGGAAGAACCATCCGCCCACGAGCTGATTTATTGCAATGGCTTTCTGAGAACAAACACACCGAGTCGACACTGACCTAACCGGTGAGGCACATGCAGTACCGTTTTCAGGTCACAAATGTCACATAAACAGACCTAAGCGAACTTCATGTCCTCTTATGAAGTTCTTACTTGGCATGAGGTACTAACTAACATGTGATATGCGCCAAAACAAGTGGGGAACGTTAAGAGGCACATAAGTTATTTCAAAAGGATGGAGAAACAAAAAGTGTCCTGACAATCCACTATCTCCTACTTCTTTCCACATTTCAGCCATGTACGTTTCAAATTTGGTGAAGGTGTACCTTGTGTTATTGCAATGTTTGTTATCGACATTAACACGTTCCCCGGTGCCAAAGGTGGTCAAATATGAATAATGCTACCAGGTGTGTGTTTTTCTTCATGCAACATTTTCATATTAGTCATATAATATGCTTCTTTATATGCATCTGATGACAACGTTTGTTTTTTTTACCTATTATAGTCTATGATAGAGGAAAAATATGTGATAAGCCCACTGAAACAGCGTGCTGCATCCACGTCTTCAGACCCATGCCGTCCGCTTTCACGATCACGGCATCTACAGAGAAATAATGATGCCGGAAATGCTCGAAGTCTTTAAGTGCATCCATGTATTTTACACTGTAGCTGATCAGCAGCGGATATCCGTGAAATACTTGGCCCATAGTCCACCATATTTTGAGGTAACCTCTGCAGAAACTCCGCAATATCACTGCAGTGATATCGCGCTTGTGTGAGAACTTCTGCAGAGGCTCCGCGTTATCACTGCAACGATCTCGCGCTGTCTCCGCTTCTGCCACTGGGTTGCTTACCGTTGTAGGGGCTGTTTTAAATGGCCGGGGCCATTGGAATGCCGCGAGGAGAGGTTATGCCGTTGCATCGTCACCTTTCACCCTTCCAGCTGTTTCCCCTTTCCGTTCGTGACGGTCGACCAGCTCAGACTGCGGGTCCACTCACTGAATGGTCCACGATTGCCCAGTAAGTTTATAGTCACACATACATGTAGAGAGAGAGGAGAGAGGAGAGAGAGAGAGAGAGAGAGAGAGAGAGAGAGAGAGAGAGAGGAGAGGAGAGAGAGAGAGATGCGAGGAGAGAGAGAGAGGAGAGAGAGAGAGAGAGAGAGAGAGAGAGAGGAGAGAGAGAAGAGAGAGATGTCTATCTATATCTATATCTATATCTATATCTGTATGCATATATATATATATATATATATATATATATATATATATATGTGTGTGTGGTGTGTGGTGTGTGGTGTGTGTGTGTGTGTGTGTGTGTGTGTGTGTGTGTGTGTGTGTGTGTGTGTGTGTGTGTGTGTGTGTGTGTGTGTGTGTGTGTGTGTGTGTGGTGTGTGTGTGTGTGTGTGTGTGTGTGTGTGTGTGTGTGTGTGTGTGTGTGTGTGTGTGTGTGTGTGTGTGTGTGTGTGTGTGTGTGTGTGTGTGTGTGTGTGTGTGTGTGTGTGTGTGTGTGTGTGTGGTGTGTGTGTGTGTGTGTGTGTGTGTGTGTGTGTGTGTGTGTGTGTGTGTGTGTGTGTGTGTGTGTGTGTGTGTGTGTGTGTGTGTGTGTGTGTGTGTGTGTGTGTGTGTGTGTGTGTGTGTTTGTGTTCTGTGTGCGTGTTTTCTTGGTATCGTAGCTCATAAAACCGCGCCGTATCATGCTGTTGTGACATAGGGCTGATAGAGGAGGCGATTGCTTCACCGAATTACTCAGCTACCATCAAAACACATCAATATTCGCGCCAGCCGATGTCCCTTGACTCGCCACGATTTCGAATTCGTGTAACAGTCGTAACTTTCCCTTTGAACCATTCACTGCACGTAGACTCGGTGATCCAAAGATACGTTTTTTTCTGTCAGTTTGCCGCACAAAACCATAATTGAGTAATCGTTAGGGTCAACTGGCTATCTGCGTGTGCTAGTATTTAATAGCCAGCGTTAGCTCATTTTCTGACATATCCTCCGAAAAGCTTCTCAACATGATTAAGCCCCAGTCTATGGTCACAGATGAACGCGCTTCATGTGTCAGTTTACCACGCATATGTGTAGAATAATAATATAAAAGTATGAGCCAGATAAAAAAGATTGACTGACCAAAATCCCTAAATATTTTGGTAGAGAGGCACAACATTTCGGGTGATACGACCGCATGAGGTTTATCCGACGAATAAGCAACATATTTAGATTCATATTCACATCAATATTCGCTCGGCAGCCAACATTCGATAGACTCTAAAATCCGCATACAAACAGAACATACTCTGCTCGCATTTAGCACAGAGAATAAAAGCGGCACATCACATACATTGGGTCCTAATTCTATTGCCGATTAACCAAATAACGAATGGAGGTTGTGCCATGTATGGTTATAACATTTAAAACGATCTCCTTCAATGTTCGTAGTAAAAATACCTTATATGTAGATGTTCATCTCCTCACGACGACAAGCACAAAGGCTGTAACTCCAAGAACTATTACGGAACCCACAGCAGGCCAAAGCCGCAAAAATTCGTCTGAATATGAGTCTGAATCTGCCATCATCTTGACCAACCCATGTCGAGTAGTCTCCTCTCGACGAAATCCCAGATCCAGCCCTAGGTCAGTGGCTGTGGCATTTACTTATACTCGCCCCTCTCATGTGATTTGTGTGCGGCGCCTGACGATGAAGAAAAACAAACTTAGATATCAACGGAGCAGCAACATATTATTCATCGACGACAATGCAGCATTTTAATGAGAAGCCGCAAAACAGCCCGCTTCCATAAAGCTGAAAACTATGTCTCTATCTCACTCAAAAGTGACGCTTGAATGCAAAAAATAAAGGAGACAAAAACGTAGGAAGGGTGTTTTGAAGTTCAAAAGTACAAAGCCGAACTGATGTCCCTTTCTCCAAGACTTGCTATGATAAAATTACCTAAATTTTGTATGTAAAGACTTTCAGACTGGCCCCATCAAAGTTGGGGGATGCCCCCAGTCTAAAAGCTGAGAGATGGGGGCGAGCACTCCTTCTGCTTCACCCCTCCTATTGTCGCGCCTATGGGGACGTTATGCCTTTGCAACACAAATGTCTCCATCGATATCTGCGTAAGAGTTCAAATCGGCCGCGGAATTACGCAAGGCCGGCCCGCTATGCAGCAACGTTATGCGGCACAGTCTACTGCTGCAGGCCGCGCAGCCGTCGGAGTCCCACGTACATCATCAGTTCGTACACGTCTGAACGTGTCCGCTTCAGATTGTACCGAAGCAGTTGTTAAGCTCTCGACATTACGCCAAAACATCAAGGAAATGGACGCAGGTCCGACAGCTCTTCTGCTTACTGCAGATATATTTAGAACGAGGTAGCAAACCCCCGTAGTTTAGCGAGGTGGCTTTGCGCGCAGCACGTCCACAAGCCTTTGATCACTCCTATAGCATTCGATTTGCTAAAAAGATCATCCGACCCGTTGCAGATGCCGTGACGTACCGTTGACCCATGCCGCATTGTCGTGCGGGACGCTGTAAGTAGACTGGACCACCTCCTCGAGCGTGATGAGATGGCCTCGTATTCTGAAAAGGCAAACAAGTTCAATGCATGCTTCAGTCGGCGGAAAATGCTCGGAAACTGTGGCACTGTGCGCTCTCAGTTAGGTTGAAACGACTTAGGAATGCGTCAAGGAAAGAACGGCTGTTTCGGCTAGGAAGGAAGGCTGTCGCCCATTACGAGGTTGATGTCCTGACTACATCAGCAGCCTTATCTGGTGTAGTTAACAAAATAGCCGGGCATTTCGCCAATTAGTCTTTGAACACAACGCCAAAGAGGAGGCAACAAACCCTTTAACCACGTTTAGTTGTCTCTATTCCGGTTTATTTCTGCATGTGTGTAACATTGGCATTAACTTAAAAGCTTCTTAAAACGCTACTTCACTCTGACATTTACCTTTTATTTGCAACAATGGTCATTCTCTTATCATCATCAGGTCTAAAATCTTCGCTCTTCTCCCCGACATGGGGGGGGGGGGGGGATTTGATTGCTAGCCATCATTCCCACCCTCTTACCTGGCCGTCAAACTTTTACGACCCTCAAGACTTTTATTGCTTTTTCTCCGCAGATTCGCACGGTTCCGGGTCTCATCGACCCGCGTACTCCTCCCTCCCCCTCTACGCTGCCCGACCCGACAGGATGACCTCCACGTGACCCCCGCCAGAGGCCGCCCCCCCAGGGCACGCAGCGACGCACCCATCCCCGCCTCTCCAAACAGCAGGCGGCCTCCGAGGCGTCGGCGCACCGCGCACCGCTGCACAAACACAGCGCCGCCCCCGCACCTGCCAGCAGCCGCGCCGCCGCCGCCTCCGGACGCCATTGATTGCCGCTCATCTGCGCGCACTGAAAAAGCGACGCGTTCTGCTGCGCCACAGGTGCGGCCCGGTGCCAAATGGCGCGCACGGAGAGCGGCAATCGCCGCGTGGGAGCGGGAGCTGCGGTCGGGTGAGGAATTACGAAAGCACATTGAGCGAGGTTGAGCGGAAGCGAAGGGCGTCGTGTAATGGGTTTTCGTCGTGTCAACATGTTTACACCCAGTGCGACGCGGCGGGGATTTAAATTAGCAGTGTGAACTTTTAGACCAGTGACGTCATAGTTGGTCTTATGGCCTCTTCCCTAAAAACTCTTCGTTTGGAAAGTGCATACAACTTGCCAAGATACTTGTGCATGTGGTCAATATGATAAAAGCATGCCATCCTGAAATACAGAAAATATATTAATTAAGAATCACGATTGTGAATAATGAAGGCAACCACAATGCCTTGAATGACGACAGGTATTCATTAATTCTTGTCATTGTTAAAACAAAGAGTGATGATTAGCTGCGATATGCACGGTGGGGTCACTTAGCAGTGTGCCTACACTAAGCTCCAAATCGATATCAAAGGGAACATAGTCTATACATACTTAGCTTATCCTTGCCTGAGTTTTGATTGTACCCTTATCTTTCGTTTAATCTTATCCTCATCTGCCCTTATCTATGGATTTATCTTATCGTTATCTGTGTTCTAATTGTGTCCATATCTAAATTTTACTCAGGTCCTCCTGGCATAATGTAGATGTGTTAAAACCAAACATCTAATAGGTAGCTCAGTAATGTACGGAGTCTAAGTTAAAAATGTAGTTTGTCTTCTTTCGCACATACGTGACGCGGAGTGCAAAAAATACTAACGCCCATCAAAGCCCTCGGGTAGTTCCAGAAAGACGATTTAAACCAAAAGGATCTTGAAATCTGCGTGTTTAATTATATCGCGTGCCCTGTTTATCAGTGGCGGTACAACCTCCTGGGAACTGGGTTGGAAGGGCACATTTTGTCGCAACCCTACGCGATTGGCGCAACTTTTTCTGGGATGAGACTCCCCAATCTGCTGTCACTGCTGCTGGACGCTCACCTGGGCCAGTCAGGACAACTCTCTATCTGACCTTGGCCTGCCATGACCCTGCTGACTGATCTGGGCCCATCAGGAAGCCCTGCTGACTGACCTGCGGCCGCTAGGACTCCCTGCTGACTGACCTTAACCCGTCGTGACCCTGTGGACTGACCTTGGACCGCCATGACTCTGCTGACTGACCGCGGCCCGCCACGGTGCCCTGCTGACTGAGCTGGGCCCGTCATGACTCTGCTGACATCTGGGCCAATCATGGCTCCCTGCTGACTGACCTGGGCCCGTCAGGGGTGAGCCTGGTGACTGACCTTGGTCCGTCGGAAGGTCGACCTGGTGACTGACCTGGGGCCGAGGTCGGGCGGGGTCAGCAGGATGACACAGGTGACGATAAGTGAGCTGACGAGGCCGATTACCAGAAGCGAGATCAGGATGCCTCGCCAGTTCCGCTGGGTCGGAGTCGCCGCCACCAGCTCCTGCAGCAGCGCGACGGCACGGTGAGCACAGGCCGCCCCCGGACACACAGGGACCGGTCGGTGTCCACGCAGCGGACTGTGACGAGCAGGCAGCACAGACGCCCAGACAATGTGGTTACAGACGCTGTGAGCAGGTCTCGGTAGCAGCCTCACCAGCTGGACGAGTGCCTGGCTTAAGCATGTTAAGTTGTCATAGCTAACGTTTATGAAGAGGTGATGCCGGGCGGCGTACGAATGTTTTCGTCACCGTTGGGTGCAAATACGGTTTCGGAGTGCATCGGACAGCTCACAAAGGTAAGTTCTAGATGTGTATTTGCGTATTGTTAATGTACTGTATTAATCATTTTTACGATGGGACATGACTATCGGTGTCGTATCACTGGGTGCCAGCGGATTTTCTTTCATTCGCTCTGTGTATCCGAGGAGAAAAGTACAGAACATTGTGTTGACAATCTACACAGGGATGCAATCGGCAACTGATGTAGGCGACCTTCTGTGCATGGGTGTGCAAAATATGTGCGCATACATTAAGTGTTCATTTACCACCAGCATTACTATTCCAAAAATCAAAGTTAGATCCAATACATATCTGCATACAATATAAGTTCTCCTGCAATAGTCGCTTCTACTTTCTCTGCAAAACAAAATAAAACATGCTTGAAACATTCGCCTTTTATACGCTACTGCGTAAAGCATTGATGCAAGCTACACCTGATGAAGAGCATAGCGAGCACGCTATGCGAACCAAGCAAAACGCCTCCCACTGGCACCGTTATAACGGAGCCCATTTAAATAAAGCTGTGGGGCTATTGCCCTCGTATCATCATAATGACGTATGGAGTCGTTGACATTCCGCCGTGGTTTGAGGTCACAGTGGCAGGAGTGGCATATGTGGGTAATGCGATCATCCGGATCATTCATAATTCATGAAGAGCCTAGTCGATGGTGCTTGGGGTCCAGGAAGCGCGGAGGTCAATATATGAATAAGGGAGGGCCCGGAAATTGCGCCAAGTTTTATTCCACGTTGACCGAAGATCAGCATTTCACGTTTATTTTGTACCCATCTGACCCGAGGATTATTTTCCTTCGCCTTGGTTTCCCACAACGGTGTAGCGGTAACTCCTAAGAAAGGCACGTCCACCCGTTCACTGCCCGAAAGCAGTTTTTCCCCTCCTTTTCTCTACTCAAGCACTGGGCATTTACCCATTGTCTTACCTCCTTGAGCTTGCGATTTGTAGCCGAACTCATACTCCGAATCACATTGTGCTTCACCCACGCGCAACAGCCACCCAGCGATCACCACTCGACTACATCAGCCAGGAATGACGCATCGCTCCGAGACCCCCGCACACCATTCACGCTTTGCGCCGTCGGACTGTTCCACTGCCGACTTCGAGTGCCACCAGACGCTGGCGCATCACTTCAGACCCCGTCTGTCGCGAGGGCCAGACCCTGTCTGACCCGAGGGCGAGACCTCCTTTGACCCGAGAGTCAGACGGCGAGGCGGCGGCGGCTGGTCTGCCCGCCGCGCCCCACGTGCGGTGCGCCTGGCGCCCGGACGCTGCCGCCGACTGGAGGGTGGGCGGGTCGCCGCTTCCAGCGCGCCGCGCAGGGCCGCCGTGGCCTCCAGACCCGAAATACACACTGCACCTGCCACCGGCCGACAGCCGCCGTCACCCCTGGCGGGGCGTCCGGCGGCCGCGGCGCCTCCAGAGGCGCGGCAGCCGCGCATCGTCCCCGGCTGACTCACGCGAGCTGCCGACGACGGCTGAAGGCAGGCGCTCTTGTCATGACGACGCCTCACCGCCGCGTTTACAAGATGTGAAGAATTTCCAGGCGACCGATATGGCACCGCCCGCCGACGCAACAGCCTGCTTTTGGCGCGGGAAATTGACGATGGTGCTGTAATTAGCAATGTGAACGAGCGACCATCCCATTTCCGGAAGCGCCTGGGATTTCCGAGCTGTTGAGCGAGATAGATGGGGCACGGAACTTTCAGCATGCCAAGTTCGCGTCCGAAAAAAACTGTTTACATCGCGTGAATTATGGTTCGATGCTGGAATGATACACAAAGGACGTTCTAATCCGGGGTTGTTTACACAGCCGGCCAGCGTTCTTTAGCACGATTGCAAAATGATGCTGCAAGATCAGTCCGGTCATAAGTGATCGCAGCTGGTGGCAAAATGTGCGCCAGTAAAAGCTGCAGCAGCTCTGGCCGTGCTGAAGTACTTCGTTTCTCTTCTTTCTCTGAACAATTTGCATCTCATAATCAACTAACAGGCGCATACACCATTCAGCTGGTCTTCCGCCCGCTGAACCTTACGCTGTGTCTGGTCCCCAAACTAAATGACTTCGGCAATGATATGCAAATCATTCGCATTGTCTACCGGCCGATGCGCTCCGAACAACAGCTGGCAGCAAGAGCTCCTGCTAGATGGCAGCCAAGCCAACGTTAGGGACCGCGAGACTGTGCGCAGACTATGCCGGACCAGGAGACATCCACGCGAGCCTCATCGCTGGTGACCGAGTCCGCGCAGTCACTCGAACGCACTGCTGCTGCCTGGTGCGGTAACCGCTATACAGCGTTATCAAGGCGGGGCAGACTCTCGAAAGTTGCCTCGTTGGAGCGGTGAAGGGCGGCGATAAAAAGCCAATCTACTGATCGATCATCACCGGTCCGACGCTCTAACTCTCACGTATCTATCAGCCTCTCGTGACGTCAAATCGAGCGCAGCACCGCGTTGCTGTGCTGCAATGCGTGTGGTATTGCTTCTGCGCGCGAGCGGATCAATAGAAGACGCAGTCGTTTTCCTCGTGGTGCTCAGGGGAAGTTTGGTTCAGCAGATCCCACAGCCATTGGTAATTGCATTGGTTCTGACTGCCCCAAGAGGCACGGAGACGGACACTCGCACCACGAGGTAGACGAGAAGGGTAGGGCGAGCCCAGCAAGGAGTGGGCTCAGGGAGCAACTAGCTATTACTGAAGAAATAGACGTCGCTGAAATGGCAACAGGAGGCACAATGCTGGTCTAAAATGGTTACGTAAACACTGCAGTTATGTGCATGGTCCCCAGTCGTGACTGTTGGTTCTAAATGGCCTTTCATCAAAATGAGACATTGGACCTTGGTTCTTACTGGTTCCTCTGTAAACGCTAGGTTCTATTTCCTCGATGCCATTAACTATTTTACAAACATCACAAGTGGTTCCGGCTCACACTGGCTCTTTCACAAGTGTCGGACCCTGGCTCTTGGTTTCTATTTGTTCCTTCACCAAGACTGGGGCCAGGAAGATTTGGTTCTTTCGTAAACACCAGGGCCTGGTTCCTGGCTGCCACCGGTTCCCGGTACTAATCAGATCATGTCACCTGGTTTTTGTTGGTTCATTAAAAACATCATGCTCTATTTCTTGGCTCTCAGGCACTGATTCCAGAACATCAAGTTTGGTTGCCATTCAGCAGCTTTTCACCAATGAAGTGATGCATTGTCTGAAATGCAAGATAAAATACATGCTATAAATTTCGTGATGTCAAAGAACGATATTGCACAATATCCGTTCAGGTTTGGAGCATGGATGTTGGCGTCGTTCCAAAAAGGACCAGATACGAGGATTATCACGAAATAAATTTGGACTCAATTGGGTGACAATGACAGCGAAGTGTGTCTAGCCAGAGAGTTCCGCTCTTGAAGTTCAGTATACAGAAATTGCTTATTAACCATATATAATTTCGGACACCTTAAAGCTAACCACTACCTGTAGGAAGTCCTGGTTTCAGGGGCTTAAGTCTGGAACAGACACGTTGTTGATGGATTTATGACATCATTACACACTTTGTATGCCGTGAGGAAAATGTGACGTCTATGAAATGTGATAACCATGGTTCAGATGCAATTAACCTAAAATAAGCGTTGAGATAAAAATACTAGAGTGATGCCGAAAGCAGCTCGATGATGGCTATAAAACGTTTAAGGGCATGGGATAAATATAATGATAAACTGACATGCCTCGGAGGATGGAAGTGCATTCAGACCAACCACACCCCCTATACGCTGTTTGGTCAATGCCACAACAGTTATTTCAACAATCGCAAGCTTTCAAGGCCACAGGGTCATTTCTCTCCATGTTTTCTAGCGTTAAAAACATTCCAGCGCAAAACATCCGACAATAGAAAAGCTCCAATCATGCTGCGTCGTTCCAAACGCGGTCTGCGTCTGCCAGAAACGGTCACAACAGTGCGGTAACTGATTGCCGCGGCTCTGTCGGTGACAGCTCAGTCAGCACGGACAATGCGCACCTCCGTGAACGGACAATAGCGCGCGGTGAGAGACCCATCGCGGGGCTGAATGCATCGCGGTTATGATTGGATACGCGTGTACCAGCGAACAGCCAAAACAATGGGCCTCACAAAAAGTCAAGTGCCACGCCGCCTATTATCTGAAAACCAAGTTTCTCAATGCAGAAATGGGTTTCTATGCTTTGCTAACGTGGAAACTGGCTCGTTTCCAAAGTAGAATTAGCATAATATGAACATCCACCACTTAGCTGAAGATGGAAATGAACGAGCATACTCATTTGCGGTCGTATCTTTTCCATGCAATCAGCTATAACGCACACAAGTATCCATTGCGCTATTTCTAAATTGTCTTCCAGATTGATGTTAGGACGTTTGTGGCACAATATATATACATAACATAACACACGAACAGCATTTAGAAAACAACTTACCCAATGCCAGATATCTGTGCGAGGCAAATACTTTTGTGGTCAGAAAAGCCAGCATTACAAGACGATGTGACGCTAATAATGGTGATGTTGATTAATCCCCTTTCCTGATAATGCCTGATTCACAGACAATTCAAACGTCTCCAGGCCCCCGGCATTTATCGCAGATGTCAACCGCTTTCCACGAAGATATAAGGCAAACTTCATCTGTTATCAGTTAAAACCAAAAGCTCACAGCTTGCTAAATTATTACGACCCAAAGCAAGAATCAAATCTGACAG